TAAGAAAGTGGTCGCGAGCACTAGCGAGGCGGTCTGGCAGGCGCATAGCGATAAAATAGAGCGTCATGCAGGAAGGAGGGGGGAGCGCAATGAGCTGGGCAGCAGTGCTGGCAGTGCGATAGCGAGTCTCTAGGGCACGCAAATGAGTGGCAAAGTCTGCGACAGTAGGGAAGGCAGCCAGGTCTGGGAACAGCATCGGAAAGAGCAAGCGGCCAGCAGAAGCGGAGGCAGGGGTGGAATAGCGAGCAATAACGGCGTCTAAATAAGCTTTGGCCGTTTCAACAGTAGCAAAACGCGAGCGCTCAGACACAGGGAGGGCGTGACTAATAGCAACCTGAGCTACTGCATCGCGTGAGTCCCAGACCGCACAGGCCAGCGCAGCAGTAGAGAAAGCCTCACGGTCATCAGAGGAGGGGTCAGCAGGGAGGGGAATAGGTGCAGGGGGACGGGGGAGCAAGCCATCAGCATGGACAACCAGAGAGTGGCCATCCTGGCGCTGACCTGTAAGCTGGCGGCGGAGATCGGAGAGCCAGGCGGCGAAGTCAACCGCGTGGCCCTCAGCGTCCAGGCGGAGCACAAAGTCAGCCATCGTGCAGGGTCAGCGGCACAGCTCCTCAGCGACACAGCGGCACAGCAGCACAGCTCCTCAGCGGCACAGGAGCACAGCGGCGCGGGGACACGGCGGCAGCACTCTCCAGTAGGGCAGCAGCTAGGCGTCCCAGCGCAGGCGAGCAGAAGACACAGGGCCCGAGAGGACACGGCAGGCCGAGCAGGGGAGGCGGGCAGGTGCTCTGGGGCCGGGCTGGTGCTGGGAGGGGCGAGGCTGGTGCTGCTGGGGCCGGTCGGGCACGAGGAGGGGCCGGGCAGCGCTGAGGAGAGGCCGGGCGGCGCTAGGAAGGGGCCGGGCGGCACTAGGAGGAGGCCGGGCGGCACTAGGAGGAGGCCGAGCGGCACTAGGAGGCCAGGCAGGCGAGCGCTAACAGCAGGCGCGACAGGGGCCAGCGGGCGCGACGAGGCCTAAGGGGCGCGACGGGGCCCAGCGGGCACGACGGGGCCCAGGGGGGGCGCGACGGGGCCGAGGAGGCGCGACGGGGACCAGCGGGCACGACGGGGCCCAGGGGGGCCGCGACGGGGCCTAACGGGCGCGACGGGGCCCAGGGGGGGCGCGACGGGGCCTAGCAGGCGCGACGGGGCCTAGGAAGCGCGAAGGGGCCCAGCGGGTGCGACGGGGCCTAGGAGGCGCGACAGGGCCCAGCGGGCGCGACGGTGCCCAGAGGGGGCGCGACGGGGCCTAGGAGGCGCGACGGGGCCCAGCGGGCACGACAGGGCCTAGGAGGGGCGCGACGGGGCCGAACGGGCGCGGCGGGGCCCAGAGGGGGGGGGACGCGACGGGGCTTAGGAGGCGCGACGATGCCTAGGAGGCACGACGGGGCTCAGCGGGCTCGACGGGGCCCATGGGGGGCGCGACGGGGCCTAGGAGGCGCAACGGGGCCCAGCGGGGGCGCGTTAGGGCCTAGGGGTCGCGACGGGGCCCAGCGGGCGCGACGGGGCCCAGGGGGAGCGCGACGGGGCCTAGGAGGCGCGACGGGGCCCAGCGGGCACGACGGGGCCCAGGGGGGGCGCGACGGGGCCTAGGGGGCGCGACGGGGCCTAGGAGGCGCGACGGGCGGAAGCGGTAGGCGGGGGGATCCTAACCTAAGCGTGATACCATGTTAACGTAGAAACGAATGATTACTAGAGGTGGAAACCTAGAACAAATACTAGTTGGTTGTACTCACTAGAAGCATACCTCAGTCTAGCCTATAACTTCTACATAGATAATATGTATAAGTTGACAAGGGGTGCTGGTTAGGCGCTGTTACTGTTTCGCCAATTTCGTCAATCCAAAACCAAACTTGATGGATTAGGTTTTCGCGCTTCTTGAGATCCTCGCTTTAAATGACACGGTAATGTATCCACATCAACGACTCTTAGATGCCTTATCTCACCTTGTCAAGCAATGTTGCTGTCGCCTTCGTTCGAGAAAGGCACATCTTGTCAATAGCCTTTTCAACAGCACCACTGGGCGATAGCTGAAGGTGCAGTGCAGTGCACAGCCTTATCTATACTGTAAGCACTGCAGAAAGCCTCAGATGCAGCACAGCAGGTGCCTGTGGGAGGAGATGGGACAATTGACCCCCGTGTGTGCAAAGCACAGCCTACCACTGCCTTTGCAATGTTTGTATTCCTACCGTGTGCCATCCTTTAGAGAGGCACACCCACCCCTGCTCCCATCACTACTGAATCGTCATCCTACCGTGCCTCCATTCCTAGCTGCAGCATGGGCACCATGCAATGCAATGGATCATGTGCACGTGCCCCGTTGCATCGCCACACGTGTGCGGCTCACCTCTTGTGTACCAGGCAACGTGTACCAGGCTGTCAAACATGTGTATTTGTCATGTTTGTATAGACTGTATAGGGTCGCCTCTTAGAGAGTACAACACTTAGGTATATCTTTGTGTACTCTCACTCTATCATACATTCAATTTTCAATTTGATATGGACGACGTTGGCAAGCTGTTCAAAGCAGCCATGGAGTGCCTGCCCCGCGCGCGCTCCGCAGCCCATTCCGCGCGGCACTCTGAGTCGCTCTACTCCATCAAGATTGCCAATAAGAGGGCTGTTACTGCCATCTCGGCCTGCCAGTCCGCCTGTGCAGGGGCGCAGGATTTCAATATGACCAGGAGAAGGCAATTTGCTATCAAGCGTGCCTTTACTGCTGCTCAAGCGGCAGGAATTTTCAGAGAGAATTCTAGCTTTAACAGCGGAGACGACGACGAAGAACAAGGGGAAGTAGACGAAGACGAAGAGGAAGAAACGGAATTGGGAGAAAGAGGCTTGGGAGCATTCTCACAATTGCTGCTCACTTATGAAGAGTATGCGGCTGGAGCAGCGCCAGAGTTCATAGGTAACATGGTGGAGTCGGAGCCCGGTGCCGACGACGCACCCGAGGCGTCGCGGCCGCAGCTGCTGGCTGTGCTGGACGGGCTCGAGGCGCAGATGCGCACGTAGTCCACTGCACTGAATGAGAGCTTTGAAGCCCTGCGCACGCAGATGATTGCTCAGGAAAGGAGTGAGCCTGCGCTGGTAGTGGCTGGGGAACTAGCTGCAGCTGCGCTGCGAGCAGCCACACTGGTGGCGCCTGCAGCCGCGGTTGTGGTTCCAGCAGCTGCCGTTGCGGTCCCAGCAGCAGCTGGGCCGCCAGCAGGGTTTGTGGTGGCAGCAGCGGTTGGGATGGCAGCAGCAGTTGGGGTGGCAGCAGGAACCCCAGGAGGGATGCAGCAGGTGCAAGGGGGGGTGCACGGGGAGGGAGTGCAAGAGCAGGGAGGACAAGGGGAGGTACCTCCTCAAGAGGAGGGGACTGGAGGGCAGCCAGGCAGCAGGCTCGCAGCAGCTGAAGCAACCCAAGGAATGGAAAGGGCAGTACCTGTGGAAGTGGCATGCCCTTGCCTCGACTCCCTGGTTCTAGAGAATATCCAGTTTCTCCCTACCCTTGATTCTTCTTGGCTGCCTACAGACCTTCCTGTTGAGTGACCCGCTGGGGTTGCCCTTGAGATCCTCGGGAAAGGGCCACAGGTGCAGAGCCTGGGGGGCTATGGGCGCACTAACCCGCTATTAACAAGCCCTTTTTGTCAAAAGACTAGCTTAGCTAGGAAGCCATAGAATGGCACAAGGTTTAGCTAGGAGCTAGGAGGAGCAATGAGAATGGCGAGAGGTTTTAGGTGCTAGGAAAGTTGAGGAGAAGAAAAGAGTGTTGGATTAGAAGAGAGGGGAGTACAAGGAGGGGTTTGTACCCCCTACAGAAAGGTTCAGTAACAACCTACCAAGCCTATATTAAATTATAACTTATATAATTTGAACACACCCCCTAGGCTTGGTAGTCACATGCCCACACACACCCACACCCCCTAACCTAGCACCCCCATTCCAGCCACAGTGACAGCGACTCTAGGTCGGTCGACCCACGGTGCGTGAGGCGGCGACGTCGACCGCAGGGGCTGCGGCGGCGACGGCAGCAGCGGCGGCAGTGTCGACAGCGGCGGCGGCGGCGGCGTGCGGCTGCGTGGCCCCGACGCAAGCGGCGACAGCGGCGGCGGCGGCGGCTTCGACAACAGCGGCAGCGGCGGCGGCACCCGCACCTCTCGGTGACGTGGCCAGGCCCCGCGACGGTGGGACGGCCGGCGGGAGTCAGCCGTCGTCTGCGGAATGGAAGAGGGCACAGGGGAAGGAGGGGGGTGGGGGGGGGGGGGGGCGCCACAGGCTGACATGCGGGCGGCCGGTCTAGCGGCGCCACAAGCGTCACGCGGCCGGCTGCAGCCCGACGACGCCATCATGGAGCGGCGTCGATGCCGCAGCGGGGCGTCGACGTTGCGACGGCAGCACGACGTCGCCGTTACGCCGACCGCGCGCTGTCGCGTAGACGCCGCGGCAGCGTGACGGCGCCGTCACGTCGCGACAGCATCTTGACGCGACGGCGGAGCTGCGGCACGACGGCGCGGCCACAGCAGCTGGACGCGGGCGCCATGGACGTCGACGGCGGCGCCGCGGCACGACGACGCGGCCACAGCAGCTTGACGCGGCCGCCATGGCAGCGCGAGATAGAGAGAGAAACGAGCACGCAGCGGAAATGCGAGGAGCAGGCCCACACGGAACGAACTGCTCTGATACCATGTCAAAAGACTAGCTTAGCTAGGAAGCCATAGAATGGCACAAGGTTTAGCTAGGAGCTAGGAGGAGCAATGAGAATGGCGAGAGGTTTTAGGTGCTAGGAAAGTTGAGGAGAAGAAAAGAGAGTTGGATTAGAAGAGAGGGGAGTACAAGGAGGGGTTTGTACCCCCTACAGAAAGGTTCAGTAACAACCTACCAAGCCTATATTAAATTATAACTTATATAATTTGAACACTTTTAACCCAGTGGTTAGTGACTGGGTTTCTGACATGGTATCAGAGCCAAAGGTCTTGGGTTCAACTCCCAGTGCCAGCGCTGCAGAGGTGCTCGTGTCTTCCACCTATCCCAGCGGGGGGGGGGGGTGTTGAGTGACCCGCTGGGGTTGCCCTTGAGATCCTCGGGAAAGGGCCACAGGTGCAGAGCCTGGGGGGCTATGGGCGCACTAACCCGCTATTAACAAGCCCTTTTAACCCAGTGGTTAGTGACTGGGTTTCTGACACTTCCGTCTACATCCCCGCCCATGTGCCTTGCTTCCCTTATCTCCGCTTCCGCCTCGCGCCTCTCACTTTCCTCTTCCTTCCCCAGTTCCTCCCCGAGCCTTACAGTTCAGAACCACTCGTTTGAGAGCATTGCGTGGGCGGCGGTGTTTGGGCGGCTGAAGCGGCTGGCACTGGTGCATTGCAGAGGGGTGGGGGAGGAGCAGCTGAAGGGGCTGCTGCATGCATGCCAGTGGCTGGTGGAGCTGAGGGTGGAGCACAGCGAGGCCATGTCCGACGCACTGCTGCTCGCAACCGCGCTCCACACCCTCACCCATGCCACTCTGGTTGGCTGTGACCGGGTCACTGCTGTTGGCATCACAGGGGTGCTTGGAAGTTTTCCCGCGTTGAGGCATTTGAAGGTGGAAGCGGACAAGGTTCCTGAAAGGGCTCGAAGGAACCTGCTTCGTGCTGGCGTCGTGGTGAGGGGGGTGTGAGTTTGTAGCTGATGCTGTGGGCATGGCAACTGAGAGGGGGATTTGTGCCTTAGCTGTGGTGTAGACTGCTCGAATGTTTGTGCCTCATTTTGGTGGTCATGGTGTCAGAAACCCAGTCACTAACCACTGGGTTAAAAGGGCTTGTTAATAGCGGGTTAGTGCGCCCATAGCCCCCCAGGCTCTGCACCTGTGGCCCTTTCCCGAGGATCTCAAGGGCAACCCCAGCGGGTCACTCAACACCCCCCCCCCCCCGCTGGGATAGGTGGAAGACACGAGTGTCAACGTAGAAACGAATGATTACTAGAGGTGGAAACCTAGAACAAATACTAGTTGGTTGTACTCACTAGAAGCATACCTCAGTCTAGCATGGAGCAGAGATGGGGAGCAGCCTCGGAAAGGAAAGCCAGCTCGTACTGCCTGTCCTCTAGGACGTCACTGCCAAGGGCAGGAGCACCCCCGACGGACAGAGGACGGGCAGGGTCAGAGACCAGAGCGGTAGCGTAGTCAAGGCGGCGGGTAGAGGCGAAGTCAGCGACAGCAGCGACAAGCGCGTCAAGGCGCGAGACAGGAACAGCAGGGTCGGTAACAAGAGAGGCAAGGACCCGAGGGACAAGGGGACGAGCAGCACGGAGGTAGTCAGAGAACGGAGGAGGTGCAACAGCAAGGGACGAGGGAGGAGGGGACGGGAGGAGGGGAGGACGAGACGAGTGGGAACGGAGCAACATAGGGTGGGTGGGCAGGACAGGAGAGACGGGACGAGCACGGGAGGGACGGCGAGCCCAAACGTGAGACGGAGGGGTAGGGTCAGGGGACAGCGGAGGAGACACAGGAGGGGAACGAGGAGGAAGACGGGCCGGAGACGAGTCTGGCGGCGGGAACACAGGACCGTAGACAGGGAGGTCAGGAGGTGGTGGGGGAGACACCGGCGCGCGGTCCGGGGAGGGAAGGCCGAGCAGGCGGAGAGCGGAAACCGGCAGCGACGGCTGCTGTGGCGGCGACGACGGCTGGGCCGGAACTCTCGGACCAGCAGAGGCAGAACGACCGTCGGCAGAACACTCAACAGCAGCACCCCCAGAACCAACACCCCAAGAGCGAGAACCCCCTCCAACACCAGCGGCACCCCCAGAAGCCGCAGGACGAACACCCTCCTCCACACCAGCACCCCCAGGGGCCGAGAGCAGCGGCGGCAGTGGCGGCGACAGCGGCGACGGCTGCGGCGGCGACGGCGACGGCGGCGGCAGCGGGGTCGGCGACTGCGACAGTGGGGGCGGAGGCACTGGGGAAGGGGGACGCGGCAAGGACGGACCGGGGGTACCACCAGAGTCAGCAGACTCCTCAACGGGGACAACCGACGGGAGGGGAGTGACGTGGGAGACACCAGACGGGGCAGGACGAGGCGGGAGAGGGGCAGGGGCTACCGGGGGAGAGGGAGCAAGGAAAAGGGGGGGGGGCAACTGGGAGACCTCGGTGAGGGAAGCGGCGGTAGAAGGAGACGGACTCGTCAAAGGTGACGTCACGAGAGTGGAGGAAGCGGTGAGACGGCGGGTGGTAGAAAAGCCAGTCAGACGAGTCCAGTGGGAAACCGAGGAAGACACAGGGGACAGTGCGGGCAGTGAGCTTGTCCGTGCCAGAGGCACGAACGTGAGCAAGGCAGCCCCAGACGTGGAACGCAGACGCGTCACCGGGGGACCCGGTCCAAAGGAGGGTCGGCGAAACCTGCGGCCGCTGGGAGCGTGGCCACAGGTTAAGCTGGTGAGCCGCGTAGCGAACAGCGAACGGCCACAGAAAATGGGGGGCATCGGCATGGATCATGGAGGTACGGGCGACCTCCATGACCAAGCCGATGCGGCGCTCAGCAACCCCATTCTGCTGTGGCGAGTCCGGCAACGTGTACGACTGGGTGATGCCCTCCGCACGACAGAACTGTCCAAGCCGACCAGAGGCGAACTCGCCGCCACGGTCGGAGTGGAGACACAACACGGGGAGACCGCGGTGGAGACGCGCAGCTACAACCCACGGGAGAAGAACGTCGGGCACGTCGGCCTTCCGCTCCAGGGGAAACACCGTGGTGTAGCGCGTGTAGTCGTCAACGAGCACAAGGAAGTAGCGCTCACCGCGCGGTCCGGGGACGGGGGCAGGGCCCCAAACGTCCAAGTGCAGGGTCTGAAGGGGGGCAGTAGCAGGACGCAGCGAGGAGGAGTGAGGAGCACGGCGGAGCCGACCCTCGACGCAAGGCGTGCACGGTGGCGCAGTCGAGGGAGGAAGGGCAGGGAGCGACGCGGGGAGACCTAAGACAAGACCGTGCTGGGACATGTGACGCAGACGCGGGAGAGCAGGGTGACCTAAGCGGTGGTGCCAGAGAAGGGAGGGGTGAGTGAGTGACCGACACGAGCAAGCTGCAGCGACCTGGGAGGACGCACCAACCGGGGGGGAAGCGGTGTGTAGGGTAAACAGACCGGACACCGGGTCCCGGGGGAACGTCGCAAGGGGGGAACCTGAGACAGCCTCAGAACAGACAGCGAACCGCTCGTGCCCGGGGAACGTGGTGGTGACGCCGAGGTCCTGGAGACAGCCGACACCAACCAGGTTCCTGGAGAACGAGGGAACGTGGAGGCCAGTAAGGGAGCCCGAGGGAACTGCCGGACAGGGAAGGGACGTAGAACTGCGCGCGACAACCGGACCCGCAGAGGGGTCAGCGAGAGAGACAACAGCAGGTGCAGCAAGCGGCGTGAGCGTGGAACGGTCGCGGAAGAAGCAGGCAGAAGCACCAGAGTCGAGAGTGAAGGACAGCGACGCAGTGGCGGAGGCCGCGGACGGAGCCGGTGCAGCGACTAGACTAGGCAAACTAGGCAGTCCTACGCCTGTCGCAGCAGGGGAAGCTAAGCTACACAAGGGTGAAACACCTAAACTAGAGTACACATGGTAGTAAGATCCATCAACACTAGAAGCGTCAGCATACAAAGCATGCAAAGCAGCACCTATCTGATCCATGTCTAACTCAAAGATCGGCACGCCCTGGCGGAGCAGGCTGTGCCAGTCAGGGAGGTCCGGGGCCGGGCCAAAGCGACGACGAAAAAGATCGTCGAGGCGGCGGAAACAGTGGGCGGTCGGGTGCGGGCGGCGGCACAGAGTGCCGCGGAGAGGCCCGGTCTGAAGCTGGTACTGGCAGGTCACAGCACTGGAGCCGCTGGTAGACGCCAAGCTGCGCGGGCCGCCACCACGGCCACCGCCTCCGGAGGTGCCGGGCCAACCAGGCGGGAGACGAGCCCACGGCTGCGGCGGGTGCTGCTGGGACGGCGGCTGCGGCTGGGGCTGGTCCTGCTGCTGCTGGGACTGCTGCTCCTGCCCACCGGTGGTAGTCCCCTCAGGCGGACTACCGTCACCACCACCACGACCACTACCACCTGCGTCACCACCCCTACCTCCCTGGCGGCCACGGCCACCGCGACGCGAGCGCTGCTGCGGGTGGACAGCAGCAGCCGTCTCGGTAAGAGGGGTCGCCGTGGCGACCGCAGCCGAAACGTCAGTGAACGTGCACGGGGATGGGGCACAACCGTGAAAGATAGAGACTGCCGGCGCACCGCTCGACTGAGCGATAGTGCGCTGGCGAGTCTCGATCTCAGTGAGGGTGTCGACAAAGGCGGTCAGGGTGAGGTCACCCGGGTGCTGGCTAAGAAAGTGGTCGCGAGCACTAGCGAGGCGGTCTGGCAGGCGCATAGCGATAAAATAGAGCGTCATGCAGAAAGGAGGGGGGAGCGCAGTGAGCTGGGCAGCAGTGCTGGCAGTGCGATAGCGAGTCTCTAGGGCACGCAAATGAGTGGCAAAATCTGCGACAGTAGGGAAGGCAGCCAGGTCTGGGAACAGCATCGGAAAGAGCAAGCGGCCAGCAGAAGCGGAGGCAGGGGTGGAATAGCGAGCAATAACGGCGTCTAAATAAGCTTTGGCCGTTTCAACAGTAGCAAAACGCGAGCGCTCAGACACAGGGAGGGCGTGACTAATAGCAACCTGAGCTACTGCATCGCGTGAGTCCCAGACCGCACAGGCTAGCGCAGCAGTAGAGAAAGCCTCACGGTCATCAGAGGAGGGGTCAGCAGGGAGGGGAGTAGGTGCAGGGGGACGGGGGAGCAAGCCATCAGCATGGACAACCAGAGAGTGGCCATCCTGGCGCTGACCTGTAAGCTGGCGGCGAAGATCGGAGAGCCAGGCGGCGAAGTCAACCGCGTGGCCCTCAGCGTCCAGGCGGAGCACAAAGTCAGCCATCGTGCAGGGTCAGCGGCACAGCTCCTCAGCGACACAGCGGCACAGCAGCACAGCTCCTCAGCGGCACAGGAGCACAGCGGCGCGGGGACACGGCGGCAGCACTCTCCAGTAGGGCAGCAGCTAGGCGTCCCAGCGCAGGCAAGCAGAAGACACAGGGCCCGAGAGGACACGGCAGGCCGAGCAGGGGAGGCGGGCAGGTGCTCTAGGGCCGGGCTGGTGCTGGGAGGGGCCAGGCTGGTGCTGCTGGGGCCGGTCGGGCACGAGGAGGGGCCGGGCAGCGCTGAGGAGAGGCCGGGCGGCGCTAGGAAGGGGCCGGGCGGCACTAGGAGGAGGCCGGGCGGCACTAGGAGGAGGTCGGGCGGCACTAGGAGGAGGCCGAGCGGCACTAGGAGGAGGCCAGGCGGGCGAGCGCTAACAGCAGGCGCGACAGGGGCCAGCGGGCGCGACGGGGCCTAAGGGGCGCGACGGGGCCCAGCGGGCACGACGGGGCCCAGGGGGGGCGCGACGGGGCCGAGGAGGCGCGACGGGGACCAGCGGGCACGACGGGGCCCAGGGGGGCCGCGACGAGGCCTAACGGGCGCGACGGGGCCCAGGGGGGGCGCGACGGGGCCTAGCAGGCGCGACGGGGCCTAGGAAGCGCGAAGGGGCCCAGCGGGCGCGACGGGGCCTAGGAGGGGCGCGACGGGTCCGAACGGGCGCGACGGGACCCAGAGGGGGGGGACGCGACGGGGCTTAGGAGGCGCGACGATGCCTAGGAGGCACGACGGGGCTCAGCGGGCTCGACGGGGCCCATGGGGGGCGCGACGGGGCCTAGGAGGCGCAACGGGGCCCAGCGGGGGCGCGTTAGGGCCTAGGGGTCGCGACGGGACCCAGTGGGCGCGACGGGGCCCAGGGGGAGCGCGACGGGGCCTAGGAGGCGCGACGGGGCCCAGGGGGGGCGCGACGGGGCCTAACGAGCGCGACGGGGCCCAGGGGGGGCGCGACGGGGCCTAGGGGGCGCGACGGGGCCTAGGAGGCGCGACGGGCGGAAGCGGTAGGCGGGGGGATCCTAACCTAAGCGTGATACCATGTTAACGTAGAAACGAATGATTACTAGAGGTGGAAACCTAGAACAAATACTAGTTGGTTGTACTCACTAGAAGCATACCTCAGTCTAGCCTATAACTTCTACATAGATAATATGTATAAGTTGACAACGAGCGCCTCTGCAGCGCTGGCACTGGGAGTTGAACCCAAGACCTTTGGCTCTGATGTACCATGTCAGAAACCCAGCCACTAACCACTGGGTTAAAAGGGCTTGTTAATAGCGGGTTAGTGCGCCCATAGCCCCCCAGGCTCTGCACCTGTGGCCCTTCCCCGAGGATCTCAAGGGCAACCCCAGCGGGTCACTCAACACATGGAACCAGGTTGTAAATTGAGTAACCGAATTAAAGGTCACTTGCTAGACATACAATCGGGTGCTTTAGTTGGTGTTTTTTACTGAAGCACGGGTATCCCAGGCTTTGCGAAGAGGCGTTCCTCTTTTCGCAAACCCTGCATGGAGCTCGCGAAGTGTTTTCCAGCATTCGTTGCGAAACGGGATTGAGGTGAAACCCCACCGCGTCATGCAGGAGTGGAGTGGAGAGGGGAGCGCAACACACGCAGCGCAGCACACAGCCTTGAGAAGGCGCGTGTGTTCCAAGCCATGGGAATTTCAAAATTCCTTTTCACCACCAGCTCACTCCTCCCCACCTCCATGGCCAGAGCCATACTCACCGGCTTTTCTTCTGATCCGCATTCAGAACGTTCCATTCTTCTCTGGCCTCCGAATGAAGAGCTCGGCGTTTACACGAGGATACACACATGGGGAGCTCCGACCGCTTCTCCCGGCCTTCAATTGTTCTTCTTGACGTGGTGCTTCTTCGACTCTGCAAGCAACGGTTAGTCCGTGCAATCCGAGAATATGACTTCTTTTTTGTTGTACATTCCATTCAATCGCATTTGGATTGCCGTACGACCCCTCTCGCTGCTATTGCAGGAAACACATCACTGGACGCCGTTATGAATCTCAGTCGGATGAAATCCGGGTACATTTGAGGGCACCGCTCTCGACTAGCAATCGTTCGGCTCGTCCTCATGGCGGGTGGCGGCCGTTCTCGGCTGCTGTCGCTACCAATCGAGCTTCTCGAGGCCATCTTTACTCGCATCGTTCACCCACCCGATCTCGACAGCGTTGCACTTACCTGCTCTCGCCTCCGGCAGCTGATACGCTGCGCGCCGCTTTCGCTCAGCGTCAACCTCGTCTCCCCTTCAAGGCCCATCGGACCTAGTGAATGGTTCAATCCGCTGAAGCACTTCTCAAAGGCGTTGCATCACCAGTTTATCCGTGGAGATCCCTGTTCGCCTGGAGAACCGGCTGCTGGCGGCTCTGGGATCGAGCTGCCCGGAATTGAAGGAGCTGGTGATCATGGCACGGCTTCATACTACTCGACGGAATGATGGAAGTGTGGAGGACGTTTGCAAGAAAGTGCACGTGAGTAGATTGGTTTGGTATAGTCTCTCTCTCTCCCCCTCTATCCCTCTTTCTCTCTTTCTCTCACCCACTTTCCCGCATCTGCCCTTCCTCATCCCCTGTCTCTTGCCTTTTCCGTTTCAGCGTTGTCATCCTGCGTTCATAGTTCTCTCCATCTCGCCCTTCCGCCCTTCCGACATCTTGAACCCCTCCTTCTTATGCAACCTCCTGCCTGTCCTTCATCATCTCTTCCTTCAGGCAATTGTCGTCGCTGGATCTGGGCCCACCCACTTCCGCAGACACGTCTCTGGACACCAGGGCAGCCCTCCCCCCTCTGGACGCCTTTCGTTCTCTGCAGTCCCTCATCCTCCGCTTCGTATATTGCCTCCCTTCGTCGCTGCCGCTCCCTCACCTCCCTCGCTCTCTGGAAACCCAAAGGTTTCACCATCTTCTCCCTTGCCTCCTCCTCCTCCTTCCGCCTCTCCCTCCGCTCGCTCTGCATTCCATCTGCCAACCTACACGATCGCCTTGAATCCCTCTCGTCCTTTCCCCGCCTCGCCTCTCTGGCCTTACTCTCATGCAAGTTCCACGAACTCGAGCTGCTCACCCTCTCTCGCTCCCTGCACTCCCTCACACGCCTCAGCATCGAGAACTGCCTTGGGGCCTGCAGCTGTTCAGTGGCAGCCATGGTGCGAGCCAACCCTTCCCTCTCCAACCTCTCCCTCACTGGCGACACCTATCACCTCTTCCGTTCAGAGGGCGTTGCACCCAATCTCCGCTTCCTCAGGCTGTCTCGCCTATCCTCCTTCAGCCCTGGCGTGCTGGCATGCTGCTTGGTAGATTTTCTGCCGATTGAAGTGAGATATCCCTGGGAGGGCTTGCATGCATGCTGGTGCGGGTGCAGGACAGGGAAGAAGATGTGGACGGAGAAGGTGAAGGCATGGAACAGTCAGGCAACACAAGGACAGCGGCCGGAGCCTTGGAGAGGAGCGGGTATCAAATGCCTGTGGAATGGATCTGGGCTGACCTTGAAGGGCTGATGCTTAAGCAGTGTCATTTGATCCATACTCCTGACTATGTCTTTCTGCCCACAAGGCCTCCCCCTATGCCGCCTCCTGCGCTCCGTGTTTGCCCCAGTTGTTCCTATTAGTAATCCCCCAGGTCCAAGCATCCCATATGTCCCATTCGAGGTGGCGGCATGTGTTGCTATCTTTGGAAGGCTGAAGAGGCTCGTATCAGAATAGAGAAGTGAAATGGATAGTAGAGTGAGAGTACACACAGATATACCTAAGTGTTGTACCCTCCAAGAGGTGACCCTATACAGTCTATACAAACATGACAAATACACATGTTTGACACACCCCTAGACTGCATAGGGGAATGTCCTAAACAAGCAGCTCAGGGCGGCACTACTAGTCCAACCTCTGAGACAAGGGTTTGAGAGACCAGTCAGAAGGGGTACAGACAAGGCAAGAACAAGAGCAGGGCGGCACTACTAGTCCAGCCACTGGGAGAGGACACAAGTCCAGTCTGAGTATACATATAAAGGACAGTACAAAGTCAAGGTCCTAGCTAGTGAGAGGCTACAGGAACTAGACCAAGCTGTACACAGTGCCGCTGATGATCTTTAGGCGCAAGCGCCTTCGTAAAGATATCAGCCGTGTTGGCACCTGAGGCCAAGTGTACTACGCGAGCCTGACGTCGCTGCTGTAGCTCACGCAGGAGGAAGTACCGCAGCTGAATGTGCTTCGCTCTGCCCTCGAGTCGAGGCTCCTGACACAGGAGGATCATGGCCCTGTTGTCAGCGAACAGGACCGGGGCAGAGCTAGGCCGCTCACCTAAGTCAGTGAGCAAGAAGGTCAGCCAGCGGAGCTCCTGTGCCGCCATGGCACCAGCGTAGATCTCAGCCTCACAGCTGGACTGCGCAACAGATGAGGAGCGGGTAGCTCTCCACGAGACGGCACCTGAGCCAAGGCTGAAGCAGTAGCCCTGGGTAGACCTGAGTGTCTCGGCGTCGTCTGCCCACGAAGCGTCTGTGTGTCCAGTAAGGACCACTGGCCTGCGTCCTCCTAGCACTAACCCCATGCCCGATGTACTAGCAAGATAACGCAGAACCCTCTTAGCGGTAGACCAGTGCTGCGGTCGGTGTCTGCCTGTGGCCACAAAGCGAGCCAGGATGCTGAGAGGGTATGCGAGATCTGGGCGAGTGCAAGTCATCAGGTACATGAGGCAACCCACCAGCTCTGCGTAGGGGCCGCTGGGCTCTACCAACTCCTCAGACACTGGAGCGGAGAGTCTGTGGTCTACAGGCAGAGGGGTGGGCTGTGCAGAGGAGAACTGAAGGCTGAACCTCTGAAGGACCTGGCGCACCAAGTGTGACTGAGTCAAGGTGATGGTGCGCGATGCTCTGTCCCTGGAGATCTGCAAGCCAAGGTAGCGGCGCAGTTCTCCAAGGTCAGTGCACGTGTGTCTCTTCAGCAACTCTGCCTTCACGGAGGCCAGTGCGTCCCTGTCTGCTGTGGCAAAGACCAGGTCGTCGACGTAAACAAGGATGTAGAACGGAGTCTGGCCAGCACGAACGAAGAGTGAAGGGTCTGCGGAAGACGGAAAGAACTGCAGGTCAGCAAGCGTAGCACGCAGAGTGTCGTGCCACTCACGGGGAGCCTGGCGCAGGCCGTAGACGGGGCACCGCAGGAGCCACTGGGTCCCAGGAGGGAAGGTGCCAGTAAAGCCCGGAGGGCGGCGCAGGTAGACCTGCTCGTGTAGGCTGCCCTGAAGGAAGGCAGTGGAGAAGTCGAGGGAGTGAAGCTCCTAGTCACGCTGAGCAGCTAGGTGTAACAGAACCCGAAGAGTAGTCATCTTTGGGGTCGGAGCGAAAGTCTGGAAGAAGTCCACCCCCTCGCGCTGACTGAAGCCTCTAGCCACATAGCGCGCCTTGAAGACAGGCGGCTCTCCAGAAGGGCGCTTCACCTTGAAGAGCCAGCGGCCATCGACTACGTTCACCCCAGGTGGGGGAACTGCGTCGACAAAGGTGCCGGTGGATCTCCAAGATGCCATCTCCTGCTCCATGGCAGCTATCCACTGCGAGGCCCAGGGTCCTGAAGTCGCCTCAGCGTAAGTGCGAGGGGTCGGGATGTCGAAAGCGTCTGGGTCACCCTCAGGGACTAGCAGCATGGAACAGAGATGGGGAGCAGCCTCGGAGAGGAAAGCAAGCTCGAACTGGCGGTCCTCCAGGACGTCACTGCCAAGGGCAGGAGCACCCCCGACAGACGGAGGACAGGCAGGGTCAGAGACCAGAGCGGTGGCGTAGTCAAGGCGGCGGGTAGAGGCGAAGTTAGCGACAGCAGCGACAAGAGCGTCAAGGCACGAGACCGGAACAGACGGGTCGGTAACGAGAGAGGCAAGGACCCGAGGAACGAGAGGACGAGCGGCACGAAGGTAGTCGGACAGCGGGGGGGGCGACGGAGGAGGCGACGGCAGCAGGGGAGGACAAGACGCGTGGGAACGAAGCAACATAGGGTGGGAGCGCAAGACAGGCGAGGCAGGACGAGCACGGGAGGGACGGTGAGACCAGACGTGGGACGGAGGAGTCGGGTCAGGAGACAGGGGAGGGGACACAAGAGGGGAACGAGGGGGGAGACGGGCCGGGGACGAGTCCGGCGGAGGGAAAACAGGGCCGTAGACAGGAAGAGGAGGAGACGGTCGGGGAGGAACGACGCAGGGTCGGGGGACGGAAGGCCGAGTAGGCGAAGGGCGGACACCGGCGGGGACTGCTGCTGCGGCGGCACAACGGCGACACCTGGACCGCAAGCTGCTCCTCGGCTACCACCGGCACTCTCCACACCCGCACCCCCAGAGGGACCACCCTCAGGGCGGCCGGGACAAGCACCCCCAGAGTCAGCGAACGGGGGCTGCGACGGCGGCTGCGGCGGCGGCGGCGGCGACGGCGACGGCTGCAGCGGCGGCAGGGGCGGCGGAGGAGGGGACTGGGGAGGGGACACCTGGGGAGGGGCGGCCGGCGAGGACTGCACCGGAGGGCCACCAGAGTCAGAAGACTCCTCAACCGGGTCCACGGACGGAAGGGGGGTGACGTGGGAGACACCAGAGGGGGCGGGACGGGGAGGAGGAGGAGGAGGGGCAGGGACTACCGGGGAAGGGGTGACCAGGAACAGGGGGGGGGTAACCGGGGGACCACGGTGGGGGAAGCGGCGGTAGTAGGAGACGGACTCGTCAAAGGTGACGTCACGAGAGTGAAAGAAGCGGTGAGATGGCGGGTGGTAAAAGTGCCAGTCGGACGCGTCAAGGGGAAAACCGAGGAAGACGCAGGGAAGGGTGCGGGCAGTGAGCTTGTCCGTGCCGGAGGCACGGACGTGAGCAAGGCAGCCCCAGACGTGGAACGCAGACGCGTCACCAGGAGACCCAGTCCACAGACGGGTCGGCGAAACCTGCGGCTGCTGAGGGTGCGGCCACAGGTTAAGCTGGTGAGAAGCGTAGCGCACAGCGAACGGCCACAGAAAATGGGGTGCACCGGCATGAACCATGGAGGTGCGAGCGACCTCCATGACCAAACCGATGCGTCGCTCAGCGACCCCATTCTGCTGTGGGGAGTCCGGTAGGGTGAACGTCTGGGTGATGCCCTCCGTACGACAAAAGCGACCAAGGACACCTGAGGCAAACTCGCCATCACGGTCTGAGTGAAGACGCAAGACAAGGAGACCGCGGTGGACACGCGCTGAGACAAGCTAGGGGATGAGGGCGCCAAGCACGTCGGCCTTGCGCTCCAGGGGAAAGACTGTGGTGTAACGAGTGAAGTCGTCGACAAGCACAAGGAAGTAGCGCTCGGACGCGGTCCGGGGACGGGGGCGGGGCCCCAGACGTCCAGGTGCAGGGTCTGCAGCGGCGCGGCGGTAGGGGGAAACGAGGAGGAGTGAGGGGCACGGCGAAGCCGACCCTCGACACAAGGCATGCAAGGTGGAGCTGGGGAGGAGGGAAACGCGGGGAGTGAACCTGGGAGACCAAGGACAAGACCGTGCTGGGACATGTGACGCAGACGCGGGAGCGCAGGGTGACCTAGGCGGTGGTGCCACAGGAGGGTCGGGTGAGTGAGGGAGCGACAGGAGCATGCAGCAGCAACCTGGGTAGACACAGCCACCTGAGGGGGCGCTCCAGCCGGGGGGGGCACGGTGTCCAGAGTGAACAGGCCGGACACCGGGTCCCGGGGGAACGTGGACAGGGGGGCACCAGTGGCGGCCTCGGTACAGACAGCATACCGCTCGTGACCAGGGAACGTAGTGGTGACGCCAAGGTCCTGGAGGCAGCCGACACCAACTAGGTTCCTGGAGAACGAGGGGATATGCAGACCTGTAAGAGAGCCCGAAGGAACCGCCGGACAGGGAAGGGTGGTGGAACTGCGGGCGACTACCGGACCGCCGAAGGGGTCAGCAAGAGAAACGGCAGCAGGAACAGGAAGCGGCGTCAGGGTGGTGGAGTCGCGGAAGAAACACCGAGAGGCGCCAGAGTCCAAGGTGAAGGAAAGCGAAGCCGAGGGGTCTGGCGACGGAACGACGGCAGAAGCACCAAGACTACACAAAGCAGGGGATCCTACGCCTGACGCAGCAGGGGAGGCTAAGCTAGGCACACCTACACTAGCCGACAATAAGTAATAAGCGGGAAGCATACTAGAGTCATGAGCATACATCACATGCAGAGCAGAAACAATGGCATCCATGTCCATATCAAAGATCTGAATCTGACGACTAAGCAAACTGTGCCAGTCCGGGAGGTCTGGCGACGGGCCGAAGCGCTGACGAAAGAGGTCGTCCAGGCGACGAAAACAGCGGGGAGTGGAGTGACCGATCTTACCGCAAACGAAGCCGCGGCGAGGACCGGTCTGGATCTGGTACTGACAACGCCCGCCGGCAGAGCCACCACGCGGCACACCACCACGCGCCCGTCCACCGCCAGCGCCGGGCCACCCTGGCGGGAGGACACTCGTCTGCCGCGTCTGCGACGGCTGCTGCGGCTGCTGCGAAGGCTGCGACTGCGGCGGCTGCTGCGGCTGCTGCAACTGCAGGGGCGGCGACTCAGCTGGACTGGGTAGGGTCCCCTCGTCCGCTCCAGCACCAGGCGACCCGACCCCACTACCCCCGCCCGCACCCCCGCCGCCCCCTCCGCCGCGCCCAGCCTTGGGGCGGCGGCCCTTCCCAGAACGGGCCTGCGCTGCAGCAGCAGTCTCAGCCACTGCGGCAGAGCCGTCGGAGAAGGTGCACTGGGCGGGGGCACAACCATGAAAGATAGGGACCGGCACGACACCGCTCGCCTGGGCGATGGAGCGGTGACGGGTCTCTATCACAGTCAGGGTGTCGACAAAGTCAGTGAGGGTGAGGTCTGCGGGGTGAACACTAAGGAAACGGTCGCGGGCGACAGCAAGGCGGTCAGGGAGGCGGGTGGCAAGCAGGTAGAGGGTAGAGGTAATGGGCGGCTGGTGGGCTCTAAGCTGTGCGTCAGTGCAGGCGGCGCGCCAGGTCTCCTCTATCGAGCGCAGGTGGGCAGCGAGGTCAGAGACAGTGGGGAAAGAAGCAAGGTCATGAAAGAGCATCGGGAGGATCAGGCGACCCACCGAGGCAGCCGGAGGGGTGGAATAGCGCTGGATGACAGCATCTAAGTATGCCTGAGCAGTAGTGAGGGACCTAAAGTGAGGACGCTCGGACGGGGGGAGGGCGTTGCTAATGGCAAGCTGGGCGACAGTATCGCGAGAAAGCCAGACAGAGCGCGCACGGGCAGTGGCAGCTGTAGACTCACGCTCAGTGGGTGTGGGGTCAGCGGGCAGTATAGCAGGAGGGTCTGGGCAGGGGAGCGTACCATCAAGGTGTGCGGAGAGCGATTCACCATCCTGCCGCTGGCCAGTGAGTTGGCGGCGAAGGTCGGCAAGCCACGCCTCGAACTCTAGGGGCTGACCTTCAGCGTCGAAGCGAAGCTCCGCCGCCATCAGGAACAGTCCAGTGCGGTGCAGGGCGGTGCAGTGCAGTGCGGTACAGTGCGGTGCAGTGCGGTGCAGTGCGGTGCAGTGCGGTACAGTGCGGTGCAGTGCGGTGCAGTGCGGTGCAGTGCGGTACAGTGCGGTGCAGTGCGGTGCAGTGCGGTGTAAGGCAGTACAGGGTGGTATGGGGGGGGAACCGTACCAGTGAGGAGGACGGGGCCGGGGCCGGGGCAGCGGGGCCGGGCAGGTGCGACCGGGCCGGGCGAGGACGACGGGGCCGGGCGGGCGCGACGGGGCCGGGCGGGCGCGACAAGGTCGGGCGGGTGCGACAGGGCGGGGCCGGGGCGACGGGGCCGGGCGAGCGCGACGGGGCCGGGCAGGGGCGACTAGGCCAGGCGGGGGCGACAGGGCCGGGCGGGAGCGACGGGGCCGGGCTGATGCGACGGGGGCGGGCGGCTGCGACGGGGCCGGGCGAGCAGGACGGGGCCGGGCTTGGGCGACGGGGCCGGGCTGGTGCGACAGGACCGGGCGGGCGCGACGGGGGGAGCCCAGGAGGGGCGCTGTAGGGGCCCAGGAGGGGCGCGACAGGGCCCAGGAGGGGCGCTACGGGGCCTGGGAGGGGCGCGACGGGGCCTGGGAAGGGGCGCGACGGGGCCCAGGAAGGGGCGCGACGGGGCCCAGGGAGGGGCGCGACGGGTCCCAGAAAGGGGCGCGATGGGGCTAGAGGGGGTCGCGACGGGGCTAGGGGGGGGCGAGCGGAAGCGGTAGGTGGGGGGGGGGGATCCTACCTACGCTCTGATACCATATCAGAAATTCAAGTGATGGTGATAGAGGGAGAGTACACACAATATAGCTAAGTGTTGTACCCTCTAAGAGGCTACCCTATACAGTCTATACAAACATAACAAATAGACATGTTTGACACCTTGGTCATACTTAAAGCGAAGGTATCAAGAAGCAAAAAACCAGACCCAAAGATTGTGTTTTGAGGGGGTCTAGAAAATAACGATGTGTGGTGAGGGGTGCTGGTTAGGCGCTGTTACTGTTTCGCCAATTTCGTCAATCCAAAACCAAACTTGATGGATTAGGTTTTCGCGCTTCTTGAGATCCTCGCTTTAAATGACACGGTAATGTATCCACATCAACGACTCTTAGATGCCTTATCTCACCTTGTCAAGCAATGTTGCTGTCGCCTTCGTTCGAGAAAGGCACATCTTGTCAATAGCCTTTTCAACAGCACCACTGGGCGATAGCTGAAGGTGCAGTGCAGTGCACAGCCTTATCTATACTGTAAGCACTGCAGAAAGCCTCAGATGCAGCACAGCAGGTGCCTGTGGGAGGAGATGGGCCAATTGACCCTCGTGTGTGCAAAGCACAGCCTACCACTGCCTTTGCAATGTTTGTATTCCTACCGTGTGCCATCCTTTAGAGAGGCACACCCACCCCTGCTCCCATCACTAGTGAATCGTCATCCTACCGTGCCTCCATTCCTAGCTGCAGCATGGGCACCATGCAATGCAATGGATCATGTGCACGTGCCCCGTTGCATCGCCACACGTGTGCGGCTCACCTCTTCACGCCTCTCATGCGCAACGACACCGCCCCAAAACCCCCACCTATGGGTCCAGCGTTCCCTTTGCTCTCCGCCCTCACCACGCCCCGGTCGCCCGCAGCGATGGTCTTGGTGCGCCGGAACGACTCGGACCGCGACGACGACCCCGAGGTGAGCGCGCGCTTGTACCCGCTGCTGCCCGTGCTCTCCTTCATGCTGCCCAGCCGCCCACTGATGCTGCCGCCCTTGTTGCGGATGGACCCCTTGGTGACATCCCCACGCAGCGAGTCGATGGCGGCCTCCAGTAGGCGCATGCGCGCATCCATGCGCTCCACGGCCGCACGCATGGAGTCCAGCGACGCGTGGCTGTCGTTCTGCTTGGCGCGCACCTGCTGCAGGCGGTCCGTGTGCATGGCGCGCCCGATGGGGATCCAGTCGTAGTTGGACGCATCCAGGTGCGCGCGCACGAAGGACTCGAGCCCCGTGTACTCCGTGGGGTTGCGCTTCAGCAGGTAGTCGATGTAGAAGAGGTAGTGCAGCGGGTTGTGCTCGTGCGCTATGTGCTCCACGAACCCCCCCAGCCGCTGCTCGAACGCAAACCGGTCGATGCTACACACAAAACACTTGTCGTCTGCATGGCGAGGGGAGAGGTTCGCATGGGTGGTGAAGCAAGGGGGGCAGGGTGGAGGGAGTTGGGGGTGGATGTGGAGAGGGTGAGGAGAGAAGATGAGGAGCAGAGGAGAATGGCGAGCAATGAGAAGATGAGAGCAGAGGAGAATGCCGAGCAATGAGAAGATGAGAGCAGAGGAGAATGGGGAGCAATGAGAAGATGAGAGCAGAGGAGAGACGCAGGCTGTGGGATGGGAGGAGAACTCACCAAGGTCCTTTTCCTTGGCTGCCTTCTCATCTCGAATGGAGGTGAAGGCGTCGACAATCTGGTGCACACACAGTACAACGCAAGGCAAGGGCAGTGAGGGGATGGCAGCGGGGCAATGGCAGCGGGGCAATGGCAGCGGGGCAATGGCAGTAGGGCAATGGCAGTAGGGCAAGGCAGTGGGGCAATGGCAGTGGGGCAATGGCAGTGGGGCAATGGCAGTGGGGCAATGGCAGTGGGAGACAGCAGACACACAACACATGTGCGCGTGGCAAAGCAGCAGGGCGATTGCACCACGCACCTGTCCAGTGAAGATGTTCTGCAGGAGGAAGACCCAGACGATGAGGAAAGACACGATGAAAACCGTGCGCAGCTGCCGCCACACGTCCGTCACCACAGACGTGGGCACCGTGTCCCAGTTGTGCCACAGCCCGCCGATGCTGCTGCTGGCGATGGCGTTCACGAGGTGCAGCCCGATGCACTCGTACAGCGTGGTGCAGGCGAAGTCGTCGTGGCCGGCAAAGGCGAGGAAGGAGACGATGGAGTACATGAAGATGACGAGGATGCCCACCAAGCCCGTGCGGATGAGCAGCGGCCCGCCCACGTACGCCGACTTGAGCACGATGGCGCCCGACGGGTGGTAGATGATGAAGTCCAGCAGGTGGAACACGAAGAAGAAGGGCGACACGCACAGCCCCAGCACACTGCGGGGTAGGGGGCCGGGGATCCAGGGTGAGTGCAGGGCGGATGGGAATGAAGGGGGGTGATTGGCTGGCAGTGTGGATGCACGCGGGCATGCTGCGCTGCTCTGCCTGGTGCTGAGAGGTGCTGACGCTGTGACACACAGAGGCATGCCAAGCAGAGGAAAGGAGTGCCGTGTGCAATTCTGTGTGCATATGTGTGTGTATGTGTGTGCATGCACGTGCGCGTGTGTGTGTGTATGTATGTGTGCATGCACGGGCTTGTGTGTGTGAGAGGGGGGCTGAGGGGGAGTGGTTACCTGGCCACGACCATGAGGACGGAGTACCAAAAGTCGAGGTTGCGAAAGAGCAGCCTCTTGGGCACCCCTGTGAGGTCCATGGACTCATTCAGCCGCTGGTCCAGCCCCGCCTCCCCCGCATCCACTGCTGCCGTGTCACCGCGTGTCATGCGCTCTGCACCCACACACGCACGCATGCACACACACACGTGCATCACATCCACACCAGCACATATGCATCTCATGGTTACGGGAAAAAAGGCTTGTGGTTGATGTCAGTCAACATTCAACACCAGCCTCGGTAGCCCTTATCCCTTCCACGGCTCCCTTCCAACTCAAATTAACACCCTATCTCCACCCCCCCCAAAACTGGTGCACACCCCACCTGAGATGTCGGCCTCCCTCTCGTCCCCCCCCACGTCCTTGAGCACGAGCAGCGGCGACTCGAGCCAGATGAAGCCGATGAGCGCCAGGCACGTGACGAGCAGCTGCAGCACTCCCAGCACGCGGATGAGCGCCAGTGCAAAGGCGTAGTGCGCCCACGGCTGCATGGTCTGGCCGTAGCTGAACACAATGAGCGCCACGATGAGGCTGGACGTGTAGAAGGGCAGGCGCTTGATCTGCGGCAGCATGTCCTGTAGCCACCCTGCCCACGGGTGGCGGTGCCGCATGCGCTCGTAGTGCTGCAACTTCAGCACCAGCACACGCGCCGCCCGCATGAAGTGCTGCACCTTCTGCTTCCCGGGGATGGCATGCACACGCATGTGGGTGATGGGCGAGCAGGCACAGGGGAGGTCACGGAGATAGTGGGCGGAGCAGTGGAGAAGAGAAGATACCATAGGGAGATATGGGGTAGGAGGAAACCATGGGGTAGGAAGGTAGCAGGGGGAGTTGGGTTGGAAGCTGATTTATTGCGAGGTGGGTAAATGTGCATGAGGACTCTGACCGACCTGGATGGGGTTTTCCCTGGGCACGTCGTAGAGCTCCTCCAGCGCCGCCATGGTCCACACAGGGTCGCGAGACAGCCGCCGGCACTCGGCAGTGAGGGGGAAGTAGACCTTTTCGAGCTGCCCCTCGCGCACCACCTCAATGGCGCACGACGAGTGCGAGAAGAAGCCCTGGAGCTCGCTGTCGCTCACCGCCAGCGTGTGCCCAAAGCACAGCGTGCCGCAGCGCTGCGGCTTGTCGCACTTCAAGATCGAGTACGTGCACGTCGCAAACACCGCCCGCCGCCCACCCGCGCCCGACCAGTCGCGCGCTGCCTGCACAGCGCTGCTGCTGGTGGCGGCGTTGCTGGCCTCGCTGCTGGCGAACATCCAGCGGTCGAAGTCGTCGAGCTTGATCATGATCATGAGCGAGTTGAGCACCTCCGACGGCAGCAGGTGGTTCAGCGCGTCCGAGTTGAACGTCATCCACAGCGGCAGCTTCGACCCCTCCACCCGCAACGAACCCTCCTCTCCCCCAATTGGTGCTGCCCTCTCTCCTCCATCATTCATCCCACCTGCACTGCTCCCAACGCCAACACTACTATTCCCGCTGCTGCTGCCGCCCCCTGAAGCCACCACACCAGCAGCGCTGCTGCGCCTGCCACCACTAGCAGCAGCATTCCCAGCAGCAGCAGCACCAGCAGTACCCCCCGTGGCAGCAGCAGCGACAGCAGCAAGGCCTGTGGCCTCGAGCATCTCCGAGAGGGAGAGGGTGGAGCGGCCGCGGAACCGACGAGCGGCGGTGGAGGAGAAGGCGTCGAACTCGTTGAGGATGGTGCCGCGCACGTGGCGGCAGCGCTGCAGCAGCGCCGAGAAGTCGATCACGGCCGCCATCTTGCTGGGGATCTCGTGGTTGCTGCCGATCTCCTCCAGCAGCGACAGGTACACCGATAGGATGCCGTTGCGCAGCCACGTGCGCAGGTCGTTTGGACCCAGCTGTGGAGTTTGCGGGATGCGGGTAGGCAATTCGGACTTGACGTGAGTTGATGGGTTGAGACATCTGTTGAACCATGCATGTGATTCTTATGCTATGCAAGTAATCTAATAAAGCAGAAGCAATGGCTTACAAACAGCAAGCAACGGCATGCTACCGCCACCCATCCCCCTCAAATCCTCCAATCCACCCACGTTCCTCCCCAACCGCCCCCCCTTTTGGGCACCTCACCATGGGGCAGTCGAGGCTGCCAGCGGGCCTGTCCCCGAGCGCCGTGTAGCTGAGCACTTTGGCGATCACCTCAGGGCTGAAGCGCACTGGCTGCTCGCCCCCCCCCACATGGTCGTCGGATGCGGGGACGCGCTCGTCGCGGTAGGTGAGGCTGGCCATCATGCGCTGCGTGATGGACAGGAAGTTGGACCGCACCAGCGCCAGCTGGTTCTCAAAGCACGGGCCCTGGATGGCCTCCAGTAGGGTGTTCAGTGCCTGCCCAGGAGGGTGAGGGACAAGGATTGGAGGGAGGGGAGGATAGGGAACAAGGGAAAGAAAGGAGAGGAGTGCTTTCTTAGAGTGGTTCACACAAGAGGGAGAAGCGGAAGGCAGAAGTGTACGGTTGAGGGGAGAACTAAAGAGTGGGTTGGAAAACATGCAAACGGCAGGCTTGCCTGAAGAGCGATCTGAGCCAGCAGTGGGCTGTGCTGGGACAGATTCTTGTCTAGCGACGGCTGCAGATGCTCCAGAAAAACTATTATCTCCTGCAGCAGGTTCACACTGCGACCGTTGCTGCCGCCACTGCTGCCGCCCGCCCCTCTGCTGGTCCCCCAGGGCCCAGCGTCATAAGCCATGCCCCCTCCACCGCCAGCACTGGCAGCGGCGGCTGCTGCGACAGTGTCGTCCTGCACTCTGAGCAGCCTCTGCATGCGCGCGTTGTGCCCCTCGCACAGCAGCTGCAGCATGCGCAGCACGTTGGTGACGTGGCCCGACAGCACCACCCACGCCTTCTTGTGCAGCGTGGTGTCCTTGTGGCTCGCCGACTCCTCCACATTCCACAGCTGGAAGCCGTCCTCCTCCTCCTGCCGCAGACCCCCCTCGTGCTCGTCCTCGTCCTCGTCCTCCTCGCGCACTGCACTGCCCTCTACCCGCCTGCCCCCCTTGCCACCGCCATCGATGGACGGCCTGGAGCGCGGCATGTGGAAGGGCGAGGAGGAGGAGGGGGCACGGGGGAGCTCTCTGGTGACCACAGAGGACACGGCGCGGCGGAACATGCGCAGGCGAGGACCGCCCCGGGCGTCGGAAGGCGCGGCGGGGCCAGAGCTGACAGCAGATACCACGTCCCCACTCTCGCTGCAGCTACTGCCACTCCTCAGCATGCGCTTGTGGCGGGGCGACGGCGGTCTGCCGCCCCTGCCTGTCACTGTGCCACCCCTGCCAGCAGAGGCTGTGGGGGCGCTGGCGTTGTCCGAAGCAATGCTGGGGCTCTCTGCTAGAGTGACGTGGGGAATGCGCCACGACCTGGACTTGGCAAACGCCCGCAATGTCCCCACTCCCTCCTCCCCCTCCCCCCCCTCTTTCTTCTCCCCACTGCCTGCTTCTGCTCCTCTCGCTACCCCCGCCTTTTCTCCCTGCTGCTCTCCCCCCTTGGACGTGTCTCCTGCCCCTGCATCGCTGGCTGCAGCACGCCTCATCATGGCCGCAGCATGGAGCAGACGCGAGCGCATGGACGGAGTCAGAACTGACCCTCCACCCGCTGATCCCCCTCCTCCACCTGCTGCTCCTGCTCCTGTTGCTGCTGCTGCTGCTGCAGTGACTGTTGGAGCAGCGTCCTCTCCTCCCTCGGCCGGCCCTCTGCCTCGCGAGCTGATGGCAGAGGACGCACGCGGCATGGACATGGGCACACTCCTCCCCCGGAAAAAACCACTCACACTGCCACGAGCACTCTCACTACCAACCCCCTCCCGCTCCTCGAAATGCCCGTCCCCCATCATCTCCTGCATCTGCCTCTTCCCAGCAGCCTCCTTCCTCGCTCGCGCCTCCTGCTTGTCCAGCCCCTTGCGCACAAACTTGATAGTGGAGGAAGCAGCGGCGAGCACCTTCTGCACGGTGAAGAAGAGCTGGCCGTCCTCCACCAGCACGGCGTACATGAGGTCCTGCACCTTGCCGTTGCCCTCGTCCGTCAGCGCGATCGCCAGCTTCACTGCCTCCGCCTGCACCCACTGGTTGCCGTGGCTGACGAGGCGCACGGCGCACTCCGCCAGCCCCAGGTCGGCGTACTTGCACTGCACGCGGTCCAGCGCGTCCAGCGACGCCTTAGAGTAGCGCACCGGCAGGGACGCCTCAAACATCTCCCACTTGCTCATGGCCCGCGCCTTCTCCTCTGGCCGCAGCACCAGCAGCCCCACCGCCACCTGCTCCTCCCGCTTCTCCCCCCCACCTGCACCAGATGCAGAGGAAGCAGAAGAGGCGGAGGTAGCAGGGGCGCCCCCAACAGCAGCACCCAGGGAGTGGGTGATGCTTGCTACCAGGGGCTTGCGGTCGTCGTTCACCAGCCAGGCAGTGGACGAGGAGGAAGCAGAGGCAGCAGCAGAGACTGGCAAAGAGGAGGACGCGGAAGGTGCAACTCCTGAGGGGAGGTCGGACCTGGTGTCAGTGTCTTCTGTTAAATAGATCATGGCGCGGCACACGCGCAGGAAGCGCACGATGAGATCGGGGGTCATCTCCTGGGGGATCTTGGGGGCGGAGAGCAGCAGCGTGAGCTGGCGCACCACGTCCGAGTAGTGGAAGGGCGGCACGGAGTTCAGCACGAGGCGCTGCTGCGACAGCAGCAGAGCCAGGTCCCTGGCGCCAGCGCCCTCCATGGTGTGCAAGTCCGTGATCTCGAGCGCGTGCGAGAAGAGCCGTGAGAAGTTCATCCAGTTGCCCTTGAACACCACGCCCTTGCGCGCCAGCTCCGACGACTTGAGGCGCGACATCTGGCGGTCCATGGCGAAGGGCAGCAGGAGCGGGTCGTACATGGTGCCCTTGAGTGCGCCCGCCGCCTTCATCTCCTCCACGCACCGCACGCACGCCTCTTGCTGCGCCGCTGGCAGCTGCGTGCACAGCTCCCAGATGCCCGCCACCAGCTCGTCCAGCACCTTGCGGTGCGAGTCCGGCAGCGCGGCGCGCGACGTGAAGTGCCTCTTGAAGTACGCCGACAGCATGGGGAGCGCGGCCGTTGTGATGTAGTGCAGCGCCGACCCCTCTGGTGCCGCGTGGTCGAAGCTCTCCTCTGCAGCCAGGCGCAGCTCGCCCACTGTGTCCTCCATCAGCGACACCCGCTGCCCCCTCCCCACCACTGACCCATCCATTCCATGCCACCCCGCACCCTTCTCCACTGCACTCGAGGACATCCCACCCAGCTCAGCACTACCACCGGATGCAACCCCACCCACTGATCCACCTCCTCCTCCGGCTCCACGTGGTGTCCTGCCCCCGATCCCGTTTTGCCCATCCCCCTCTGTGTCGCGTGTGTCGGGCCACATGCCGTTGCCCTCGTCTCTGATCTCCGCGGTGGCTCTGTCGCTGTGCCCTGTCACGTACGCCTGGTGCAGCAGCCGCACATACGCCGCCTTCACCACGTGAATCGCCTCCAGGGGTATGGGCCGGCACTCCCACTCGCCCGACTCGCCCCGCCACGTGCGCATGGAGTTGGTCTTCCGCCACAAGGCCCGCGCCTGCTCCACCTGTGCTGCCCCCTCTGCATCCTCCTCCTCCAACTCACCCATCTCCCCGTCCTCCCCCCACTCCCCCTTGCCCTCGTCAAACAAGCCCCTGCCCCCGCGGCTGCCCTTGAAGCTCTGGCTGCCCTTCTTCCCTCGCAGCGACGGCCCCCTCTCCTCCTCCTTGGTCAGTGACGCAGGGAAGCTTTGCGACATGCGTGGGTCCAGTCGCCGCTGTGAGGAGGACGACTGTGAGCGCCCGCTACCGCCCACACCTGGCGCTCGCTTCACAGCTCCCCTGACAGAGCCCGCTTCCGAAGTGACGGTGGACCACGAGTCCGCCATCTCCTGCGCATCCCCATCCGAGCTGTTCTCTATGTTCCACGCGTCCGACGCGTCCTCTCCGCCCTCCTCCTCCCCCTCCTCGTCCATCCCCTCCTCCTCCTCCTCCTCCTCCTCCTCCTCCTCTTCCAGCATGTCCTCCTCGTCCTCCTCGTCCCACCCCACGTCGCTCAGCCCCTCTGCATCAGCAGCAGCGCTCACAGCCGTCTCGCCCGCCAGCCACAGCAGCGTGCCCATGATGTCGCCCAGCCCCACCAGCCCGCTCACTTTGACGGCGTTCGCAGGGTTGTTCCCCCAGCAGCACGCGGCGATGAGCGACACGTACGCAGTGTGGTAGCGCAGCTGGCTGTCGGCGCCCGTAGTGATGTGCTCGTTGCGGCGCATGAGCGCCTCGCGCCAGCGCCAGTGCGTGGGCGTCTTGGGCAGGCCGGAGATCTGGTCCTCGTAGTCGATGATCATATCCAGCACCATCATCTGGTTGCGCGATATCGGCTTCCCGTTCACCAGCACCACCGTCTGGGGGGGGAGGGTGAGAAGGGAGGTAAAACAGTGTGCTAAAACAGGAGAAAGGCCGGAGATCAAGGGCGGTGGGACAAAAGGACAGAGGCATCGGGCTGGAAAGACCACTAACTACCCTCTTCCCTGCACTCCACTGCCCTCCCAGCTCCTCACACCAACCCCATCCCCCCCCCCCCCCCCCCACATCCTCCCTGCTACACCCCGCACTCCCCCCAACCCCCTCTTCCCCGCCCTCCTCTCCACTCCCTTCCACACTGCACTGACCTCGAGGAACTGCAGGCAGGTGGCGCGCTTGCCGTATCGCAGGATGAGCTTGACGCAGGCCCACATGTGGTCGTGCGCGATGGCGGCGCACAGCTCGTAGTTGTCCTTGAGCATGGCGCACAGGAATGCCGTCACGTTGAGGTTCGCCAGCCCGCGGTGCGGCAGGAACACCGCCATGTGCGCGTGCAAGGCTAGCTGCAGCTCCTCGTTCACCACGCCCGCGCAGAACTGCACGAGCGAAGGACGGGAGGGGGGAGAGAAGACGGGGAGGGGTTGGGTGGGGGTGTGAGGAAAGGACGCACAAGGAGTGTGGGGTAATGAGGGTGGTTGAAAACGGATGCATGGGAGGGTGGGTGCATTGTACAGAACGGAGGGTTTAGGGGTGAGGGAACAGTGGGCGGACCATAGCGAGGAACTGGTAGGCGGCGGAGAAGAGGTCCTGCAGGCCCCTGTCGCTCATGCAGTCCATCACCCCGGCCTCGTGCGATGCCACCCGCCGAAAGGGCGTGCGCAGCAGATCAACTGCACGCACGCAGGGCGGGGAGGGAAGAAACAGGGAGTGGGGCGGGAGGAGGCGCAGAATGAGAGGGAGGGAAGATGTGGGAGGGAGAAGAGTGCACATAAGTCCCAAATGGACTCCCTAAGGAAAACTCATGCACACGTGCATTTGTGAGCCACCCACCTTTCAGCCATTCTGACAAACCACAACAAAGGGGCGGTTGGCGGCAGGCGCGCTAACCTGAGCAGAGGTGGGCGCCGACGGTCTGCAGGATGGTCTGGTGTTTGAGCACCTGCGCCTCGTTCTGCCCCGGCCCCACGGTGCACATGGCTCGGAAGCGCCCCAGCAGGCGCACACAGCGCCGCCGCACCTCCACTCGCAGCCGCGTGTCGTCACTGCCCAGCCACCCCTGCAGACTGCGCAGCACACTCACGTCCCGTGCCACCTGGGGGCAGTGACACACAGGGGGGACGCAGGAAGTGTTGGAGTGGGGCTTGGACCTTGCCAGCCGCTCTAAATACACACACAAGCACTAGCCTTCGAGAAGAGTGCACGCACAAGCACACATGCCTGCCCGTGCCCTCGCCTGTGGGCGGCTGATGGCAATGGGCATGCGAGGAGCCCCCTACCTGTTTGTACACGAGCATCATGTCCGCATCCACGATGATGTGGCACTCCAGCATCTTGCGCAGCAGCGACGCCTTTTCCGTCATGTAGCGGTCGATGAGGGAGAACGCGTACGCCTTGAGCGGCGCGTACTGGTAGCGCGTCAGGTCCAGCAGCACCTCCAGCATGTACGGCAGCCCGCCCTCTGACACGCGCTCCACCAGCGGGCTCAGCGCCGGCTGCTTGAACAGCTGCGCGCTGAGAGTCTCAAACACGGACGAGTCGGGTGGCACCATGCGGAAGGTGGCGCGGCCGTGCGTCTTTAGGTTGTTGGCCTCCAGCTTCAGCCGCATGCCCCGCCACATGGACTTGCGGCTCGAGTCCTTCGATGCCGCCATCGCTGCCAGCGCCACCGCTGCCAGGCCCCCAGTGCTGTTGGCCGACGGCAACCCAACCATCCCTGCCGCGCCTGCCGCTGCAGCTCCTGCTCTATCCCCATGGGGGCTGGTGGCACCGTCTACCGCTGCCAAGGCGCGTGCCAGAGCGGAGTTGGAACCAGAGAGGTCCTGCGTGGATGCGGTGGTGGATTCTAGCGCGGAGGACGCAGGGGAGGGGGGGGCGCCTACAGCAGGCGAGGGCACGTCCGTGGGGTCGGGGGTGGGGCGGGAGAGGTTGGCGGGCATGTCCCAGGGCACTGTGGTGGTGCGGTCGCCCAGACGCGAGTAGGCCGCAAAGGCGGTAGTGATGCACCAGTTGCTGCGCATGTCGAAGATGTACATGAGCATGGAGCAGATGACCGTCTTCGCCTCCATCACTGTGTTCATGTTCGACTCTGGATCGCTCTTGAACCGCAGAGCGTTCCCCGTCGCGTCCCCCGCCCCAGCACCGTCCTCGCCCCACTTCTCGGTGCGGCCATCCAGCAGCGGGATCACGGCCTCCACAATGGGCGCGATGCTCTCGTCGCCCTGCCCCGAGAAGCTCCCAAACAGCCCAAACTGCAGCATCAGGCTGGCTGTCTGCAGCACTGCGAAGGTCAGCGAGCTCTGCCCAGGGCGGCTGGTAGTCTGTTCGAGTGTGGTGGCGGGGAGGAAGTCGAGGATGTTGTGCTTGAGCGCTGTGAACCCGGGCTCAGGTGCCTTGAGCGGGAACGCCAGGAACGGGTCCGCCATGGCGCGCGTCACGTCGTCCTCCTCCGATGCCTCCTCCTCGGGGAACGGCTGCCGGCTGTCGATGGTGGGCCTGGGGAATGGCGGAGGGGGGGGGGAGGGAAGGGGACGGGAGAGGAGGGTTTGACAGTGGAGGGACAAATGGTTAGGGTAGGGGAATGGGATGACAAGCAGAGAGACAGTGGGGGGAGGGACAGTGAAGAACAATAGAAATGCAGGATGCATAAAACGGGAAGTTGAGAGAGCAGGAGGTGGGGGTGGGGGAGAGGTTGAGGGAAACGGGATAAGTGAAAGAGATTAGAAGACAGTTGTGCTGGGAGGAATGTGAGATGCCACCATGTGGCATGTTACCATGTGAGGACGAGGCGGGTGTAGGAGCGCTCTTCAAAGGGCTCCCGGTCGATGTAGAGGTGAGTGAGGAGGCGGCAGCAGTTGGTGCGCAGGAAGAAGGGCAGCGAGGGGTTGAAGACGACCATGCGCAGCGTGTGGTAGTCCAGCCCGTACAGGTCGCTGTCCTCGATCAGCCAGTCGATGGCCTTGCGGTTGCGCTGCATGCACAGTGTGCAGAACAGCTCCAGCGTCACCACGTAGAACAGAAACAGTACCTCTGGGAGGGTTGGAGGGGGTTGAGGGAGGGTGGGGAGAGAGGAGAGGAGAGTTAGGGAGCGAGTGCGAGCAGAGGATGGCGATTGGGGGGGTGGGGGGACGGTTGAATGGTGCACAAAAGCTGGAACGTTGGGGTGTGAGAGGGAATGTGGGGATGTGGGAAGGGCCGTGGGGTGTGAGAAGGCACTGAGGAGATGGGGAGCGCACAGAGGCGCTTAGACACCTTGTGGCGATCGGTGGATGGAGTCGGAGTGCGCCCCCAGCTTGTCCAGCGAATCCAGCGCGCCGCAGTCCACGACGAGCCCGTCGCGCTCCAGCAGCAGCGTCTCCTCGCCCACGCCCTGCTGCGAGGCCGCCACGCGCGCCTTGACCAGCACGTCGCTGTTCTCGCGCAGGATGTCCACCACCACGTTCTGGTTCGTGCGCACCGGTGCGCCCCCGCAGCTGCAGATGATGTTGAGAAAGCGGATGTCGCGCGGCCGCTGGAAAGTGCGGCAGTTGATGATGCGCTGCCGGATCTGATGGGGGGGAGGGGGGGAAGGGGGGGTGGAAGAGGGAATTAGAAAGTGGGGCCCAGAAAGGTTGGCAGTATGCAACAGAGAAGGACGATGATGGATGAGTCCGAAGTGACTACGCAGACCTGAGCCGGCACAAGGCTCCAGGCTACGAGCAGTGCGCTTGTATCCAACAGTAAATATAATGTCACGGCTCGTGCACGGTGCACGCGCCACCTGCTCTCACAGCACACCCCTCAACCCATCCTCCCCTGAGCCCTCCATTCCAGCTGCCCCCCCACGCACATTCTCGACAGTGACGGACGAGATGATGTTTTCATTGTCAGCCACGATGGCCATGAGGGTGCCCGACGTGTAGATCTCGTTGCCCACCAGCTGCTCCAGCAGCGGGATGTACGGCGCCAGCTGGTCCTGATTGGGGCGGCAGCGCCGGCACGCGGCCTGCAGGTAGCGGTTGACGAGCTTGCAGAGGCGGCGCACGTCGAAGCCGCCAAAGAGGTGCGGGTGCATGATGCTGTTCTGCGGCAGGCCCTTGCGGATGAGCAGCGTCTCCAGGACCGTCATCACTGCCGTCAGCACCTTCTGCTCCCGCTGCAGCACCTGGTGTGCGGAGAGGTGGGGGGGGGGGGGGGGGGGGGGGGGGGTGATTGGAGTGGGGGGAGTTTGAGCGAAAGGAGGAGACATGCATGGGGTGGTGGGGGGGTTGGGGTGGTGACAGGGGAAAGAACGTCCGAAGTGGAGCATAAGGGTGTGTGCAGAAGAGCGGCCATGCAGCACAACATATCCATGGCATGGGGGGCGGCGCACCTGGTGAACCTGGTTGGGCGGGCCCCTGAGGTTGAGCACATCGGGCATGTCCGACACCACGAGGGCGCGAATCAGCCGCTCCAACTGCTCCGACACCGCAGGGCTGGGGGAGGGAGAGGAGGGGGGTGGGAGAGGCGGTGTAGAATGAGGGGTGGGAGGCTGCGTTGGCGAGATGGGGTGTGTTTAGAGAGAAGCGGGGAGTGCAATGGGAAGGCAGTGGATGGTACACACCACGTACCCGTATTTTAGCAGAACTTGTAGGAGACCTGAGGATCGGATGCTGCGAGGGAGGAGAGACGACAAGGTGGGGATTGGAGATTGCAAGACGGGGAACGATAGCGATGGGAAAGTGAATGGAGGCCAAAACTGAACTGCCAGTGGTTGCTCGCAGTGACCAGGTGACAGCGATGGCAGTCCTTAGCATGCAAGAACAAACCCGCAAAGCAGCACAGTCACAAGCAGAGAAAGATCCCAGGGCACGCACCCCTCTCTGCACCACCATCCCCCCCCACACCAACTCGTGGCATCGCCCCTCACACTCGTGGCCGTGTGTGCGTGTTGGCAGGGCACCTTTTCTTGAGCTGGTAGTCATCCTGGCATGCGTCGATGTCGTCCACCCGCTCCAGCGCCGCCACAAAGTTGCGCACGCACGCTGCCGAGTGTGCTTGCTGTGCATGTGGTGCAGGGAGGGGGGCGGAGCGGGGGGGGGGGTTTGGGGGGGGGAAGAAGTGCATGCATGCAAGCACATGGGTAATGAGGGCGTAATGAGGGCACGGGGGTATGTTGGGAGGGACACAACAGTACGATGGTACATGGAGAGGTATGATCAGAATTCAGGGTTCAGGGTTTCGCGTTTAAGGTTTAGAGGACATGCAGTAGTTGGGTGGGATGCTTACCGTGCATGTGAGCTTGACTGCTTGGTTTGACGCGACCTCGAATACTAGCGCATCCTGAGGCGAAACGAGCACACACACAAGGCACACGCCAGACGCACTCCACCACACACCCAGCATGCACCACACACCCAGCATGCACCAGGCCCACTCACACAAGGAACACAGCCAAGCAGCAAACATTCCCACCAAAAACGTCAGGACAGGTGGCGCGAAGGGTCGGAAGGGAAGCAAAGGGAGCAGGAAAGCAGGGGAGGCAGGGAGGCGAGGGAGGGAGCCACGGGGCTTGGGAGGGGCGGCGCTGACCTTCTGGTCCCAGGACTGCGTGAGGCCGGCTGACTTGCGCTCGTACAGCGAGTCCAGCTGCGCCAGCAGCGCACGGCTGGACGGGTCCCCCGACGACATGGAGTACTCGCCCAGGCCCCCCGACACGTACCCATGCGCGCCCTGGGGGGGGGAGGGGATGGGGAAGGGATGGGATGATGTGGGGGGGAGGGGGGTTGAAGCATGATGGACGAGCAGAACAGCAGAGCAGGGACACAATAAGAGGTGGAAGCGCAGATATGCAAAGAGGCATGGTCTCTGACACAATGTGGTAGAGCAAGGTGGAAAGAGTAGAGGGCATGAGTAGAGCACCTGGCAGCGAAGCAGCGACTGATACAACACGGCAGACTTATCATAGCCCTGCAGGGAGAAAAAGAGAGCAGGGCGCAAACAGCACGATTCATAAGCCGGTCGCAACGCAAACACATACATGCAGATGTTTGCTCGTTAAGTTTAGGATCAAAGGGCGGGGGCAAGAGGGGAGCTAAAGATTGGACGATAATGAAGAGATGGGGGCGAGAAGGAAAGAGGGCGGTGGGCGAGCAGAGAGGGGGCATGCCTGTGTGACAGCGCCAATGGTCCATATGGTGCTGGGCTTGCGATACAGGTCCGTCACTGTCAGCGCACCACTGCACGGCCGAACCAAACAATGGCCAGGGAGGGGGGAAGGGTGGGGAGAGAAGAGACGAAATCGGAACGACGGGTCAGCCAGAATGGAGCGACAATACAGCAAAGTGGAATGAACAGGAACAGTGCTGCATCAACAAAGGTGGCGCGAAGAATGCGATATGTGACGGCAGTAAGCATGAGAAGAGAAGCACAGAGGAGGGCAGCAGCGGCAGCAGGAGGGCATGCCTGAAGTCGTCAAGCCTGAGTTCCTGGGAGCTCTGCGGCAGGCGCTTGGACTCCAGAAACAGACCCGACGCCAGATGGCGCAGCGTGAAGCCCTGGGGGGGGAGAGGCACGGGTCATGCCATAGGGGGATTTCGGACTTCTGAGGTGGTGCATACATAGTTTTAGGAGATGACGATGCAGTGCATGGTGAGAACACTCCAGGAACTAGGCTCTGTGTCTGCACTCGTGCTATTCATGTGCATGTCTCCTCCCTCCACTGCTACTACGTAGGCACTTTCACTATCTCTTTCTATGCCTGTGAAGTCCGTGAGCCTGTGTGCCGGTGAGCCTAGGGTGCGCTGTGGGTGCGGTGCAGGGGGGATGACCTGGTCATAGGGCAGAGGGCGGCCCCCCCATTCCACCGAGGTGGGCTGAACCATCCAGAGGGCATTGGAACTCGGCCCGCCATCCTGCACACAGACGTGGCCGGAGCAGTGCAGCGCAGCAGAGGGGGAGGCAGGAATTGGCATGCATGAAACACGGGTGAAGGCAGGGGTAATAGGATAGAGAATGCAAGTGGAAGGTATAATGCTGGCAGGAGGGTTTACGAGATGGATGAGAAGAGAACTATGGAGCGTATGGTTGAGACGGGTGCGGCGGGGAAGGCTTGCCTGCACACGAGCTTCAAAGACGACTTTGCCCTCGTCGCACACAAGATTCATCTCACTCGCTCTGCAGCCACAGGCACAGGTGCGAGGAAAGGGGATGGGAGAGCAAGTGCAGCCAACTTGAGCACGATCTGGAAGAGGAGACACACATGCACCTCCTCCAGGTGCACCTGCACCTTAGCTTTCCAATAACTTTTCAGGTTTGAACGAGTTGGTCGTCCACGACCCAATCTATGAATAGCCCTGCCATACCCCCTCTGCTAGTGTGTGCTCCAGCCCTCCAGCCCGCCCACGCACCTATGTATGAGCGTGACTGCGTCACCTCCCTTGAGCAGCTGGCGCGCATTAGGGATGCGAGACTCGTGCAGGGCAAAGGGGATGATCCGCCACCCTGCCATCTCAGGACCCGCATTTACCTGCAGGGGGGAGAGTGGAGGCAGGCACGGCACAGGGAAGAGGGGGGGGGAGAGGAGGCACGGTGTGCACAAGGGGTTGAGGCAGAGCGACAGGTGATTGTAACGTGATGGGGAGCGGTTAGGAAGGCAGCATGATGTACGGTGCTTGATGGAAACGGTGGGTAGGAGGAGCGAGACACTGTGGGGTGAGAGAGGGAGCGTCAAGCGGACTGGTGCGAAGTGAGGGGCATGGCCGAGAGTGCCCAGCTCCCAAGTGCCCAGGACCCCCAAGTAAGTGCCTGGCTCCCAGTGCCTGGCAGCCCGGCACCCAAGAGCCCAGCCCGAGCAAGGCACAGATGGATGATAGTGAACCCCATGTGCCCGATGCATGGTGTCTCACCTCTCTGGTATCCGCAACGTAGGGGTGTGTGCCCATGACTGTTGTGTCACATGATCCCTCGGACACGCGCAGCCTGCCTTGCCACAACACACCGCACTCCCACACACACACACAAAAGGCCGGTCGTGGTTTCAGGGCAGAAGATAGGGGAGGAGAGGGGAGGGATGAGGGGAGACGGGAAGATGGGCTGGAGGACAGATGCATTCAGCAGCAAGACAGGTGGCATTGTGATGCAAGAGAAAAGGGGGAGGCCAGGAAAGCAAAGGAGGTGGGAAAGGGGGGGGAGAATGAGCACCATGGGGAGAAGAGTCGGTGAAAGGGAGAGGAGGTGGTAAAAGGGGAGAGAAGGCGTTTAGAACAGATTGACAAAAGGACAAGTAGTTTGTTATTGGAAGCCTAATGGGATGTTGGGTGAGTAGATTGGCATACCCAGCCCCGTTGAACTTGACACTTGTGAACGTTGCTGCATCACCGAATGCCACGTGCTCTCCTTCCCTCTGTGGGGGCAGGAAATAGCAGTGCCAGGAAAGTGAAGAGCAGGGTTTCAAGGGAGCAGAGATTAGAAAGCAAGAGTAAGGCAAAGAGCCAACGAGCCTGACCGCATGTGGCAAACTGTTCAACAGCACCAACCTTGGTGGAATCAATTGATAACTGCCATCCTGTGAGAGACGATGAGAGGTTCACTGCTGTTATGCACTGTTCCCAAAGCACGCCCCCTCACCTTGATCTTATACGTCGGAGTGACACAGAACCAGGAGCCCATGTCTCCACCCTTCTGCAGCACAACCTGCCACAGCCCACGGCACCACGAGAAATATGTCTGATCGACTGCACTGCATGCCTCATGCTGTTAAGATGCGGTCACATGCATGCACTTGGGCCAGACAGCACAAACACAGGCACTTTCGTCCCTACAGATGGCAGAGAGTTGTATCCGTCTGCAGAAAAATAATGGGCTTCCCCAAATCCCAGGCACCACACGGCCCCACAAGCATGAGCACACAGGAGCGGGAGAAGGGATGGAGCATGGCATGGGGGCAGTACCTTGAGGTGGGACTTCTCGAGCTCTGACTGGGTGCGCTTGACAGTGAGGAACTTGTGGCTGGACACGTGCAGCAGCTGCACCACCTGCCCGTACAGCACAGGGCTGCCCACCGACCGCACAAACTCAGCTGCACGCCACCGTGCCATGAGCCATGCCCATCACGTTAGTTGGGAAGCGTTGCAATGCGGACGCACAGGCGCAGGATGGGAGAAAGAGAGGAGGGCAGGGAAGGGGGGAAGGTGAGCGAGCGGCCTGATGTGCAAAGGAGGGCACGCAGATGGGACACTGGCTGCAGTGGACTGGAACCGGGGGCGGTAGGTATACGAGGCAGGGAGCTGCAAGCAGAAGGCAAGAAAGGGAGGACGTGTTGCCTACCATTGTTGAAAGCCTGCTCCGCCTTGCTGGCACCTTCCCCCTGGAGAGACACGCACAGACACGCAGACAGCAGCACCGCACCGCACAGCACCGCAGAGCACAGCACAGGGGCACAGAGGGAGGGGAGACGGAGCTGAGCACAGCTGAATGAGTCTGGAGTGCTGGCTTAACACGAACAGGGAGGGAGTGGCGTGTGCAGCACGCGCATGGATGCAGCACGCTGCAAGATGCGATGGTTCCAGGGCGTGAATTGCGAAGGCAGGTTGCGACAAGCTGCGACGGCGCACCTCTTTGTGCGGGACGTGACCGTGGCGGGAGAAGCTGCTGCCATGCGCGTCGTCCTTCGTGTTCCACAGCGAGTACTGGTACTTGATGCGCACCTGCCCACGCGCACGGGGGCCGTTCGGGACGGGGTTTCGGTGGAGGGGGTAGAGAGGTGAGGCAGGCACACGGAAGTGTCAGTGCTGCGGTGTAGGGCTAAATTCGGCTTTTTCTGTAGGTCACATCTGCTGGGCACATCTGCTTCCCCGTTGTGGTTGGACACGGAATTTGTGGAATCTGGACTGTTGAAGAAACACAAAAATCGGTGGAATTCTGGTCAACGAAGCAGGACCAAGATCGAGAGGCGGAGAGAGGAGACGACTGGAAGTAGGAGGCGAGGCGACGAAGTGGCTTCTGCGCGGGCGAAAGAGCGAAGAGTTACAAAAAGCCGGAGGACACTGCAACCCCGTACGACGCTGCTAGGTTGGTGCTAAGTTGGTGCTGCCGTAAGTCTAGCGGCGATTCCGCGTGGCGTACTTCGAACTTGGCGTTATCGAGGCACGGCGGAACATCCACATTGTCGTCCAGGATCTCGCATCGCACTCGCTCGTCCACCAGGCCCGACCCCGTCAGGTAGCCGTGCAGATCCATGCATCCCAGGCACACCACGTCGCCGTACGTCAGCTTCTCGCCCGCCATTCCGCCGCTTGCGACTCAAATTCCCGCACTAGTTGAAGCCAGCTGCGAGTATGGAGCCTACTTTCAGCTTGTCGCTAGCGAGTCCGAAAAGCGGACTTGATCATTTAAGGCGAGGCAAGGTTCTGCCTGACAATACGGGGCATTGTGGTCCGCCTCATCGTCAGTCTCTAGAGGTCTAGCTAAAGGGGAGAATCTGCTGATCGTTCCCTTCACGATCTTTCATGATCAGAGCACCCTGCACGCAGCGACCCTAGCCCACACGGAGTAGGATGGCATGGGACTCTGGGTCAAAAAGCCCATCTTGATGAGCCAAAAATAATCGAATATGGGGAGTGGACGTGTAGCAGGGTGGTGGACGGGGAGAATGCAGGCCTGCCGTACGGCACACATGCTCCCGTTCAGGTGCAGGCGAAAGGCACTTCTATCAGCAGCATCAGTGGTGGTGGGTCAGTGGGCCACCGCATCATTCGATGTCACGAAATAGGTTGAGGTCAGAAAAGAAAAGGCTCCGCGCGTGAGCCCACCTCCACCCCCATCATGATGCCCGACGGAACGCAGGTGAAGTCGGGTCGGAGAGAAGAGAATGAGATGCTGGCTGGACGAGAAGTTGTCTTTTGTGGAGCGCTGCCGAAACGATGTGAGACTGCCGCTCGGCGGCCAATCAACATCCATCCACCCTCGCCATATCCATCTCCCTCCCGGCCTCATGGTTGGCTCGCGAAAGCTCTTCTCAAAACAGGGCTGCCAAAATGGGTCTCAAGAGTTACAAAATGGATTGTTCACAGAATGGGCCAAATGTACCGTATCATACGAATGGGCACTCTAGCAAATAGATACATATTCCAAGATGCAGGTTTAATCTTATATGCATGTCTAATCTAGTCAGGCGCAGACACGAAACTTTTGGTCATGCAGTCTCACAAGCCCATCAATGCTAGTGAACCAGACCAGCCAAGCTGTGAAGGACCTGTTAACATCGCCCCGACTCAAAAAGCAGCATGTGGAAACCTGGAGTGCTCAAAGGTGTTCCTACGTCCTTTACGGGATTTGGCGATTGTATGGCATGTCTGATCCAAGAGCCTTTCTCTCCTCCCTCTCCAACTTGATCTGAAAATGACACAGCAGCAACGGTGTGGGAGGCAGCCAAGAAAGTCAAACAACTAATGACCACATCCATTTTCTCCCGACACATCGCCTGACTCTACATGCCCCTTTCATACACGCCATCTTTCTGTCCCTTTCCCAGCTATCCAGCCAACACCAAAGCCTGCATAACTGCATTTGACTGACCCAAAATCGACAGCCCACGAACAATGAAAAGAGCAGTGGGAGAAACGGATGGTGTACCTTGTGAAGTTCCTTCTGCAGGTAAAACTCGTAAGGCGTTTGCTTTTCCTGAACACAGAGCAGCGCAAACCATAATACAGCACCCAACCAAGGCAAGAGGTGAGGTACGGTTACAGGGATGTAAGAGACGTCCGTACTGCTCAAGATATGGAAGTTTGACATGAAGAAACCGTTTACCGCTTCCCGATGTATGGTAAGTACCTCCGAAAAGCAGATCCGCAACCTACAGACCGCGCAGGTACCTGAAGCTCCTTGGGAAGGTGGGTGTGCTTCATGGAGATGTCAATGGCACGCTTCAGCCGCTGGTTCCGCGCGTCTACCTCCGCCTGAGGCAGTCGCTTGAGGGCTTCGGCAACGTCAAGGTCGTAATACGGATCGTAGAGATCGTCATACCGAAGACCTGCCCATGGCGCGGCGAAGAAGTAAAGATCTTGAAAGTACTGGTGCAAGAAAGTCTGATTTCAGTCAGATTGATAAGAGATTCGGAGGTCGACCTGTCGAGTCCACCACGGCGAAGAAAGCAACCGAGTTTCCTGCTGAGAAGAAAGGCTATGCCTAAGCACCATAAGTGAGGGGCATGAATTGGCAGCGGCATCAGATCATACCGTATTTTTTCAGTTGAGCGCCAACAATACCACGGTACCATTGGGAGGCCCAGTTGAACGCGGGTTCGGTGAGCTTGTTCAGCGTCTTAGTTAGACCAGCCATGGCTGAGCTGACAGGAACACCGATCAAAAGTCGCCGTGCCTAGACGAAAGCGTAAGTGCTGCCAAGTAGGGATGGTATGGAGGTGTGCTGGTGCGGTGGTGATGCCGTGGAAACCTCGACAGTCCGCGTACAGAATCTTCGTCGTAGTGCGTCAACCTTATGATATTTATTTCAATTGATGTTTTATATGACTTAGATTTCAAATGTGGGAAGTTCCATATACTTCTAGTGTACATTGACGCCAATACCTTCTTCTAGTTTCGGCACCTTCGTATTTTGTGTAGTATTCAATGCTTCACTAGGCTCCCCCCCACCCCACCAGTCCAAGTGAAACACAAAATAGCGTATGTTATATCACATGTGGTAGCATAAGAACCAACCAGTGTTTGTTGAGGTGGAGCCAGCCGAGGGCAATCAAATAAACAGCCCAGTTTTACCACAAAGCTTAGAGCTACCCCTTCCCTGCACTGTGGGAATGTGTGCATTCCCATCTGTTTTGCTTCATTATGCTTACCCCTTCAATGTGTGGAATGGACCACAAAAATGCATAAACCTACTGATACATTGAAGCCAACGGGCCATCCATAACATCCTTGCACCAGAGATGGCATGATAATGACTAACGGTAGGATCCTCCTACATGTCCATATCCCATGTGATTTCATTTCTCGGAGTCCCCAGCCTCTCCCTGCTGCACTGCCAACCCGTCTACCCCATACTCCTGCACTGTCACCCTCATGAAAGACCGTCAGCCCACACACCAGCCCCACACCGCCTCATCCTCTAAACCCTGAAACCTCACAGTCTTGGACAGATGCACGATGGACCCCGTTGTGTAGAACACAGAGCCCAGTCTCGCTATTGGCCGCACAGACTCTGGCCTCAGGGCCTCGTTGTCAGTCGGGCATCGCAGCGGCCGTTGCTGTCAAAGTCTGTGCACAAGTAGCGGTTGCCGGAAATGCTGTGCTCCAGGAGGTGGGGCAGGGGGGACACAGAGGTGGACTCCCGTTGTAGTTGGGTGCTGTGCGTGCATGAGATGGATATGCAGAGGCATGCGAGCGGAGTGCAGAGAGAACAAATGTAAGAGTGTGAGAGAGAGAGAGGGAGAGGAGAGAGAGAGAGAGAGAGAGAGAGAGAGAGAGAGAGAGAGAGAGAGAGAGAGAGAGAGAGAGAGAGAGAGAGAGAGAGAGAGAGAGGCGACCATGCACGTGATGGAGGGAGGGTGCTCAGGTGGGTACCCGAGAACAATGCCCTGCGTTAAGAAGGCCCGGCCCAGCATGCCAGAGAAGTTGTTGTTCATCAAAAAGAGCTCCTTCAGCTTGGGCAGGTAGGCGAACTGAGGAGGCACCGGCCCCGACAGCTTGTTGTTCTGCAGCTCACTGGCAGGGACAAACCGGCACACGCGCATGCACCCATGGACATACACACATCGCACATGCATGCACGCGGTCTCGCAAACACACGCACACCCACGCACACGCACACACATGCACACGGACGCACACGCACACACACGTGCACGCACACACACACATTACACAGACACAAACACACACACACACACACACACACACACACACACGCACACGCACCTCCGCACACATTCACATGCACAGCCACAGACACACGCGCAACCACACACGGAAGCACATGCACATGCACACGACCAGAAGCACACATGGGGAGGACACACGGAAGAGGGGTGAGTGGAACTGCAGCAGCTATAACGGAGCGTCATGGCTGGTGGCTGCATGCACGGCAGCAGAAGCACGAGAGCAACGAGCCAAAGAGGAGAGCATGAGGCAGGGATGGAAGTGTGAGAGAAATTGACAGCGTTACAAGGCTGCTGCAGTCCGCGAGTGCCTTTGGCAGCGAGCCGTTGAGCAAGTTGTCATTGAGGAAGCCGCCCACACACACACACACACGCACGCGCGCGCGAAGAGGGTAGTTCACGTGAGGATATATGAGACCGCCACAGAAGGCAAGGGGAGAGAAGGGAGTCGAGGCAAGGGATGAGGGGCGAGACGTTGAGCAGGGAAGAGCGGACGAAAGGGCGTCGGCCACCGTGCACATGGGCAGAGGACGCCTGTGTGCTGCAGCGTCTGCCCCTCGCTGCTCTCCCCCTCGCAGAACAACAGCAGGCCATAAGAGCGTATGTACGGAAGAGGGGGACGAGCGGGCAGGGCGCGGCTTACAGCTCCTGGAGGCTCTTGAGCGAGCCCCAGATGGGCGGGATGACGCCCGTGAAGTTGTTGAAGCTCAGATCGCTGCCCACGCAGCCAGGGGGGGCAGGGCGAGCCCGCGCGCACACATGGGCATGAGCGCACCAGTCGGACGCAGCACAGGCCTATCACGGGCAGCACAGGCCTATCACGGGCAGCACAGGCCTATCACGGGCAGCACAGGCCTATCACGGGCAGCACAGGCCTATCACGGGCAGCACAGGCCTATCACGGGCAGCGCATGGATTGAGGCCCATGGCACGGTGGGATCGCGTGTTACTGTGCAGCGCGACACGGCACAAGAAGAAGGAGAAAGCGAGGGAGCAGGGCGGGAGCAGGAGAGGCGGGGAGCAGGTGGGCACTGACAGCTTCTGCAGCTGCTTGGAGCGGCGCAGGCCGAATGGAAGGTTGCCGAACAGCTGGTTGTGCGACAGGTCGCTGCGGCACAGCACGCGACGGACAGGGGAGCAGAGGGCACGGCAGGGAAAACCAGAGATGGTTTCTGAAAACGCACAGGACCCCTCAATCTTGCAGCGCCATATGGAGTTTGGTGCTGTGCGGGACAGTTAAGGGGGACAGAGAAAGCGACGAGGTTATGGGTAACGGAGGGAGGAAGAGGGAAGGACGGAGGAGCTCACAAGACTTTGAGGTTTCTGAGGTGGATGCTGCGCGGCAGCACCCCCTTGAAATTGTTGCGGCTGAGCACCACGTGCTCCAGCATCACCAGGTCCAGCAGCACGTCGCGCAGCCGCCCGAACAGCTGGTTGTTGGCCAGCGACCTGCGCGCCACGCACACGGCACGCAGCGCGTGTGCATGTGAAAGTAATTGTGGGGCAGGGGGGAGGCGGGGGAAAACGAGAGAGGGGTTAAAGCGGAGGGGCAAAGACGAGTGAAGGGACATGAGGAGGGATGAAGGGACATGAGGAGGGACGGCATGAGGGATCCAAGGTCGAGGGAGGGAAGACGGAGACGGTAGGAGGGGTCCGCCTTGCAAGGCGCAGCAGCTACCGCTCTGGGCTGTATCAGTGCCTAAAGTCGCGTCACCAGTCCTACTTGACGCGGCACTTGCCCTCAAGCAGCGCGTAACAATGTGGCGACTGTAACAGTTGTAACTGCATATTATCTTTCGCCATGGCATGTCATCGCCCAAAGTGCTCGTCGCCCCGTTTCTCAAACTTCCTCGCCGCTCATGCACCAACGCAATGTGCGCCCCTATAACTACTTCCGGCGCGGCGTTGGAGCGCGCGCGGGGGTGCGCGGCTCACAGGATCTTGAGGTTGGGGATGCCGATGAGCCCCCTGACGTTCCCCGTGAACTGGTTGTTGTCCAGAATGCTGCACGCCACACGCAAGGGGGGAGGCGAGGGCGCATGGGGCATGCGGCGGATGATGGGTGCAGCGCACGAGGGGCGCACAGCTCAAGGGGTGCACGACGGAAGAGAGCAGCGGCATTTCGAAACGCACTGCGCAAAGCGAGCATGCGGGCGGCAGTGGGTGACAGAGAGCGTGCGGCGGGGCGGCGGACTGACAGGGTCTTGAGGCTCATCATCTTGGCCATCTCGAGGGGCAGCTTGCCCGACAGACTGTTGTTCGACAGGTCGCTGCTCGCCACGCACACGCCAGGATGCAGGCACGTGTTGAGAGAGGAAGGGGGGTGGGGAGGAGGAAGGGGGGATGTCAGGGTGTGAGGGTTGACTGGTGGACGGCAGTGGTGAGCATGGGCACACCGGGGCAGAGCGTTTGCTGCAGCGATGGCACGTTCATCTGAATATCATCCCAGCTGGCACGAGCGACCAAGTGGTGAAGCGCGTGAGGGTGGGGGCACGAAGAGGTGGCGCGCGAGGGGCGAGTGGGGCGAGGAGGCGGCGCTCACAGGGATCGGAGGTTCTTGAAGTTGCCGATGGCTCTGGGAATGGTCCCCTGCAGCCCCAACCCTCGCAGATCGCTGGCGCGCCGGGAGGACGGAGTGACGTGGCAGGGGGAGGGAAGAGGGAAGAGAGTGGTAGAGGCAGAGGGAGATCCGAGATGAGGCACATCGCAAGCGGATTTCAATCATGGGGCGAGCAGGACATCGCACCGGAAAGCGGGAAAACATGGTGGTGCGCAGTGTGAAGTGTGAAGCGATCAGCAGCGCATCAAGACCTTCTCCGCCCGTTACTCAACAGCGTGATAGAGAGTCGCCTGATACTACTTTTCGGCGACTTGCGACCCACATTTTGTCGACGTAGGCAACGCGCTTTTTGAGGTCTTTGAGGCAGCCGATGCCTCTCCACCTGGCGGGCCCCTCGGCGCACGGGTGCCATCCCTTCCATGAGCTGAGCGCACCCACGCTTGACTGGAAGGAGCTCTTGAGCTGGTTCAGCGTTATCACTGCCACGAGACGTAGCGAATGGGGGGGCACGGGGCACGAGGCACGACGCATGAGAGGGCGGGTGAATAAGAAGTGGGGCACAACGGCCCGTTGTCCCCGGGAGACCGCAGGATCGCATCATGCTGGTTAACTTCCGACGTTGAAGGCATCATGAGAGAGAAGAGGCCCACGCAAAAAAGGGCAATGAACTGTTGCTCATTTTAACGATGAACTGGATAGCCATGCGGCAGTCATAATGCGGCAATGATTGCCTGGTAGACGCAGCGAATTCGACGTAAGTTAAGGGGGAAGCGAAGTGCAAGAGGGAACGGGGGATGGAAAGAATAGGCTCAAAGTTTGCGGAGTCTTGCTGATCGTCGGCGAGATGTTGTACATACCGTCTGTCGTGAACGTCCTATTGACGGGGATACATTGCGCAAGAGTCAATGCGGAAAGCACCGTTGCTGCAAAAAACATCCATCCGCATTTCCACGTGGAGTTCCGGCGGTGCTTCATCATCGCGGCTCCTCCCCCACAGCAGCCTAGCAAAGTCCGTCTATCGCTTCCTCCCTTCGTGCAATGTGGAACCTAAGGCAATAGCCAAGCGGCGTTTCCTGTCGTCAGGATTCACTGGGATCGCTGACTAAGGTAAGATTAGAAATGGAGGGGTGACACAGCTGGAAACCTGGCAACAGGTTGAGCAGGTTTGCTTGGGCTAGGCATGTTGAGGGGTGGGTGAACCCTGCATTGTGAGGGGTGGCTCGATTACCATATCTACGGCTGAATCGCAACGTTCAATTTGGGATTTTATATGTCCCCTCGTCTCATCCGTCAGATCGTCCCTTCCAGTTTCCATGCTCCCAGATACAGTAAACACCCAATGCGGTGACGAAAGAATCTCGTGAAGTCCAAACCACCCACCCACCCACCAACCGTTGACTCCGGTTGAACACTTGGGACCACACAGCATTTTGTTTCAGTGACTGTACGCGCTATACTGAGCAGCTATTCTCGCCTCTCTCAATCACCACATCGGTCACAACTCTTACTCAAAAAAAAATATTTTGTGTGATTTTTTGTGCTCCCTTCGTGGATGTACACTCACACTGTCCACTGCAGCTCATAGCATAACGATGTCTGAACTCTCCAGAAGCTCGAGGGCTGATGCTTTTTTTTTTTTCCCCAAAGCCTTGCTAAGTCAGGGTGTCTTCCCCGCCCGGCCCTGAAGGGTGCACACTTCTCAATGGACATGCCTTGAGGGCTCAGGGAACCAAGGGTTCATGTGCACACTTCAAATTGAGGGCTTGACCAGCAGAAATACATCGAACCTACATATTGGAGCCAATGGCCATCCATCCAGCATGTCTTAGGCTAGAGATGGCACCATGACTACGGGTAGGACCATGGACTCCCGTATCCCATGCAATCTCATCTCTCCCAGGCTCCAGCCCCTCCCTGCTGCACTGCCCACCCGCCTCCCCCATACTCCTGCACTGCCTCTCCCTCATGAAACACCTTCAGCCCACACACCAGCCCACCACCTCCCCTTCCTCTCCTCACCCCCCCTTCCCAGTCAATGCTAGCCAGCGTGGCATTCCCGAGCAGCCCAGCGAAGTAAGCGAAGGTGCTCATGTAGGAGCCGGCCTCGATGAGCGTGTGCGCCTTGGCCATGAGGAAGAACTCTGCCATGGTGGGCATGCGCTGCCGCTCCATGTCCGTGCTCGCCGTCTTGGACAGGTGCACGATGGACCCCGTCGAGTAGAACACCGACCCCAGCCTTGCTAATCGCCGCACAAACTCTGGCCGCAGGGCCTCGTTGTCCGTTGTGAGGAGGATGGTGAGAGGGCCACTGCTGCTGCTGCTGCGGCCTCCGCTTCCCCCACTTGCGGCATCCGTCGCTGTGCCCCGCGCTGCCTTATCCTGCTGGATCTTTTCCAGCAGTGAAGCAATGCAGTCCCACAAGCATCCCTTCAGAAACTCATGCGCCTTGGCCTTTTTCCCCACACTCTCCTCCTCCTCCTCTGCATCCTCACACCCCACTCGGCTCAATTCCTCGTCCCCGCGCCCCCGGATCTGCTCGATAGCCGCGGGCCGAGTGCGGATGTGCAGGGCAACATCAAACATGTCCCCGTCCTTCACACCCTTTTGGGACGGCACAGGCGGCTTGCCCTCCCCCACGTGGTGCAGCAGCACCTGCCCCACCACCTCCTGCAGCAGGCGCGAGGGGCCGAGGAGCAGCTCGTGGATGGCGCGTGAGTGCACGCACCACAGGGACGAGCAGCGCAGCGCCGCGAACACACACGCCTGCACGCGTGGGTACAGCTGCCAGAAGCCGTCAAAGTGCGACGGGGACTTGCTCAGCATGATGGGGCCCGTGAAGCCCAGACTGCTCTTGATCTCTGGCAGGGGGGGGGAGGGGGGAGAGGAGGGGGGGAAGGGGATGTGTGGATGTATGGTTGGGGGGGGTGCGGAACCAGAGAAGATAGCACAGTGAGATGAGATGCCGGTGATATGGGAGAAAAAAGAGTGGCGTAACAGGTGGGTACAAGAGGAGTGAGAATGAGAGGCAGGGCGTGGTGGGACAGGAGAGAGAGCAGAGGGTGGCAGAAACGCACTGCCGGACGTCTTGAAGGCGGACTGCAGCTGCACGGGCTGCAGCAGCTCCAGCTGGCGGTACACGCCCATGGTGCCGCCCCACGGGCCCGTCTCATTGGACCAGCGGATGGCGTCAAACCCGCACGTGAACGCCGCACACAGCGTGTCGTACACCTGGCAGTGGTGGTGGTGGCAGGGGTGGCGGGGGTGGGGGGGAGAGGGGAGAGAAAATGAGCAGCACGTGGTGGGCAGGTGATGCGCTGGGAGGGGAGGAGCAGAGGTGGTGAGAAGGGAGCAAGGGACAACGTGAGAAGAGCAACACACAGGGCGCAGGGCGAGTCCCACCTTGGCATGCTCTGCCGCGTGCAGGCGCACGAGGCGTCTGCCTGCCAGTCTGGCGTACACGAACGCGGACACGTAGCCGCGCAGGCTGTTGCCCAGCCCGTGGCGCGGCATGAACAGCAGCACGCGCCGGTGCTCGCCCCGCAGATCCGATACCGCCTGTATGGACTGCCTGGGGGGGGATGCGGGGAGGGGAGAGAGGAGGGAAAGGTGTGAAGCGGGATGAGTGGGGGAGGCGTTGGGCGTGGGGCGTGATAGATGAGGGCTTATCAGTCTTCACGGACAGCTTCTCGTCGCTTCTTGAGGCACGGAAATGCATGGGCGTGCAGGGGCCGGTGCTACCACGCACTGGTTGTCAACGAAGTAGAGCGAGGGCGCGATGATGCCCCGGCACACAGCCTCCGACACCACCGAGATGTCGATGTGGCTCACGTACGGCGTCAACCCCACCGCGCCTTCGCCCGCGCCCGCGCCCTCGCTCCCCCCATCCACCCCTCCACCCCCCTCGTCACTCCGCGCCCCTCTCCTCTCCCATTCCGCCCGGCCCAGCCCCTCCTCCTCTTGCATCCCCCCGCCCGCCCTCCCCACGCCCTGCAAGCTGCTCGTGCCGCGGCTACGACTCGCATCCGAGCTGGCAGATCCCATCTGTAGCGCAGTCCGGTTCGCCCGCCCCCTCGCTCCATCCAAATCCCCCCCGACGCCTTCCCCCGATGCTTTTCCCCCGGCGGAAAGCCCCCGCGCGCCCCATCCCCCCGCGAGGAGCGCTCCGCGGTCGGTGTCGGACCAGAGGAGCGGGAAGTAGTGGCCGGCGAAGTTCGCGAGGAGCAGCAGCAGCACGAAGCGCAGCGGACGCGAGGGAAGCGCGTCGAGCGCGTCGACTATAGGTGCGGTGATGCTGCCGCTGCCACCGCCGCCGCCGCCGCCTTGGCCGTACGCGAAGGGCCGCTTCGGTGCCATGCGGTGCTAGCGAGAGAGCTTCCGCGGACGGCGAATCTGATTCGGATTCATGGACTAAACGGCGAGATTCGGGCACACATGGCGAATCGACATTCCACGTGAGGGCTATTGGGGGTGCCAACGGATTTCACGAAGGTAGATATGGAAGAAAACGAAGCACCCTGTAGGGAGGATTGGAAGGAGGCTGGACGATACACAGCACAGCGAGGATTCCGGAGGTTGGTCGGAAGAAACTAGTAGGCTTCTGCAAAATGCAACACCAGCCTGCAAGAGAAGATGGGAAATCCTCGCTGCGGACAGCCTCGTTTTCCGAGTTTGTATTTGCCCGGATACTGAAAGTACACATATTGAGTCCGAAAACCACAACGTTTTGGTGTATTGAACAGTAGAGCTGTGTCATTTCAACTTTTGGCGGGGACCTGCGTGTCCCGCTATCCGCCACTCATTTGCTCGTTTGAATTCTCGTCTGCTTGAAGCCATGCCATCGCTTGGCCTTCCTCCATACCTCCACTCCATCCTCTACATAACGCTGCGTGTGCTGTGTTCCCTCTGCGGCTTTTCACAGCAGAAGTGCCATCCTGGCCTGATGAGAGTGCATACTCATTCCGTCGTCACCACAGCAGTGTCGAAGCTGCTGCCAGAAAGAGTCCCCACCCCACGCCCTTGCTTTGCCACCTCGGTGCCGTGCGTGAACGTCTCGTTCGACCTCGATAGGCCGCAACGTGCGCGTCTAGTTCAGTCTAATCTAGTAAAGTCTAGTATAGTCGAGTATTGTCTACTCTACCTCGCGTGCCAGGTCTGCCTGCCCGCGCGCGCATGGAGGCGGAGGGCGGCGAGTTGACGGAGTACGAGCGCCTGCGGCAGCGGATCCAGGAGCGCAATGCGGCGAAGCTCCGCCAGCTCGGCGTCACCGCGTCCGCGGAAGACCTCTCCTCCGCAATTGCCGCCAAGAAGCGCGCCGCCCCGTACGTGAGAACTTAGCGCGGCTCATACTAACGAGGATATGTAGTTTTTTTCTCGGGAAGCTTGGTCCGAGCGGCGGGTTTGTTTTTGCGTCGTGGCTTCTCTTCTGCCTTTCGCCATATTCATCGACAAAGAATAAAGCACGCCCTTGCTTCACTCGCCACGCTCGCATGCCCTCTTCCATCTCCTCCTCTTTTCTCCCCCCGTTTCCCACACTTACTCCCCTCCCACCCACCCCAAACCCAAACACTCGTCTGTTTCTCGTGCGTTCCGCCTATGCGTTCCGCCTGCAGTCACCGCACCAAGCCCCACCCCGCGGAACCGCAGCAGCCCTTGCGCCGATCCCTTCGCAATCGCGGCATGGCCCCGGAAAGCAACCCCGCTGGTAGCGCGGGGGCCGGGGGGAGCGTGGGGGGCGGGGGGACTGTTTCCTCCAGCGCTGGCGCTGCTATCGTGGAGGAGGTTCCGCTTGACGGACACGTGGGCGCGCGGAGTTTGAACCGGGAGGCGGAGGAGGATGAGGCGCTCATGCGCGTGCTGCGCGCGCGGATGGTGGCGCGGGGCTTTGCGCTGGAGACAGAGGGAAAGGACAGGGACGAGGGGGAGGAGGAGGAAGACGAGGAGGGCAAGCGAGAGGGAGACGGTGGGGCGCAGTTGGGAAGCGGAGAGGAGAAGGGGGGTAGGAGAGGGAAGGGAGGAGAGGCGGTGAAAGAGGAAGGTCAGGAAGTAGGGGGTGGTGTGGGGCGGGTGCTACGACTGCCGCTGCCAGGCAAGCGAGTGAAGGGGAGAGGAAGAGCGGGGGTTAAGGAAGAAGAGGGAGAGGGAGAGGGGGGATTGCAGAGCGTGAAGGGAGGGGCGGTGGAGGAGGGGTTGAGGGAGCAGGGCAGGGAGGAGTTGGAGGCGGGGAGGTTGCGTCTGGTGGAGGGCGATGTGGGCAAGCTGACCAAGGAGAGAATACACAACGTCACTGTGCTGCCGTTCCTGTAGGTCTGCTTGAACAGGAATGGTTCACGCGTTACCGCTCTGCAAACCACCTCACCGCTCGTGCCTGGTCCTCAATTTTTGAAGGATTATTCCTCCTTGCCTCACCCCTGACTCCTATCACGCTGCCCATCATGTTTCCCACCTCTTCCCTTCCGCTCGCCCTTGGCTGGATTCCAGGGATCGGCTGGTGGTGGTGGCAGGGGATAAGATGGGGCAGGTGGGCGTGTGGGACCTGGGCCACATGGGCGCGCATGGCTGCTCCGCTGCTGCTGCTGGTGGGAGTGGCAGCGCGGATGGCGGGGAAGACGCGGATGGGGAGGGAGGGGCGTCAGAAGGTGCTACTGGCATCTTCACCTTCCGCCCCCACCGCAACCCGGTGTCTGGCCTCGCCTACTGCCCGCTCTCCCTCTCCAATGTCAGTCGCCGTGTGATAGGAGTCTAGTTTTGAGGCGCCTCAAAACTGGCCTCGCCTACTGCCCGCTCTCCCTCTCCAATGTCAGTCGCCTCGTCCTTGCTCTCCCTCGCTTCACCCCATTCTGCTACCCCCATCACCATCACCATCACCATCACCATCACCACCACCATCACCATCACCACCACCATCACCATCACCATCACCATCACCACCACCATCACCATCACCACCACCATGCTCCGTTATATCACAAACGCCTCACTCCCTGCCTCTTACCTTGCCAACCATTGCCCTACCCCGCACCCCCTCCCCACTCCCCCTCTTCACCCCCCAGGTTTACACCGCCTCGTATGACGGCACCATCCGCTGCCTGGACGTGACTCGCGCCTCCTTCCTCCTCCTGCACTCCTCGTCCCAGTTCACCTTCTCCACCCTCACCCCCTCGCCCCCCTCCTCGCCCTTCTCCCCTCTCCTCCTCCTCGGCACCGACAGCGGCCACCTCGTTGCCTTTGATCCCCGGGCCTCCCACGGGGGCCCTGTGGGCAGCTGGGAAGTTCACGACAAGAAGGTCAGCACGGTCAGCTTCTGCCCCGGGCAGGAGGAAATAATTGCCACGGCGTCAACTGACCGGACGGTGCGCCTGTGGGATGTGCGAAAGATGGTGGGAGGCGGGGGAGGAGGGGGAGGAGGAGGGGAAAGAAGGGGGAAGCGGAGGAAGACAGGTGGCGAAGGGCAGGGAGTGGGGGGCGGTGGGTCTGCGTTCCACGCAGCGCACTCCTCCTCTCATGCTTCTCCTTTGCTGGAGCTGCCGCATGCGCGTGGAGTCAACTCCGCGTACTTCTCTCCTGATGGGGCCTTCCTGGCGTCCACAAGGTAGAGTCGCTGTTGGCCCCTTGCAGGTTGAACTCACATCTCCCATCTACGTCCGCATGTGTTTGTCGCTGCTCTGATTCCCTCTTCCCTTCTGTATCACCCCCTGTGCATGCTTTTGAGTCGACTCAAAAGTCACCTGTGCATGCATGCTTGCTTCCTCTGTGCCCCCTACCAGCTATGACGACACCATTCGCCTGTGGTCCAGGGAGCAGTGGAGCCAATCCGTTTCTGCATCGTCCAACACCACTCCAGCACATCCCAAGGTTCCCCCTGCCTTCCCCCCTTCCAAGCGTTCCTTAGCACCGTACCTTCTCTCACTCCTGCCTCCTGCAAAGCCTCACCACCTCTGCAGTGTGCTGCTTCTGACTCTTCTGCCATCTGCTCGTATGATGTACATCATACCTCCCCACTCTTTTCCTGCCCCTGCTCTTCCCAACTTCTTTCCCTTCCCTGCGCTCTCTCCTTCGTTTCCCCCCCCCCCCCTACACCAGCCGTACATGTCAAAGAGGCACAACAACCAGACAGGCCGATGGGTCTCGTCCTTCAGGTCCGCCCGCAGCTCTGTCATTTCATGTCTTTTGATTCACTCATGCACGGCTGCCCTGTATGCGCCGTGTCCCATTCTCCTCTCTCCTGGCCCCTCTTCAAACCTCCCCCCCTACTATCACCCTCCCTGTTTCTCATTCCCTCCTCCCTCAGAGCGGTGTGGGCGAGTGACAGCCAGCACGTGGTGGTGGCCGGCATGGGGCGCACGTTCGACATCCTCTCAGCCGCCTCCGGCGCGTGGCTGCCGCCTCTTGCCAGCGTGGAGCTGATGACGTCCATCCCGGCCCGCCTGGCCATGCACCCCTCGCTGCCCGTCATTGCTGGTGGCAGCGCCAGTGGACGCGTCTTCGTGTGGCGCCCCGCTGCTGCTGCTGCGGGTGGTGGTGATGATACTGATGATGCTGATGCTGATGATGCTGATGGTGGTGATGCTGCAGATGGGGCATGAGACGGGAGGGATGGATACCTTGGGCCTGGCGTGGACGTGGGATACTAGCTTGTTTGTCAGCTGTGTAGAAGTATGCTGAGCTGTTAGGCAGGTAGGAGGTATGTTTCTTTCAGACAGCATGCTTTTATATACAGAGCTATTTACATGTACAGACACAAAGTGCGAGACAAGATGCAATTATCATTCTAGAACAGCCCAGCTCCATGTGCATGCGGTGCTGCTCCCTCTTCTACAGTGGTGCTTGCGATGGCCAGTCCAGGGAGCCCCCATGACCTAGTCCAGGAGGAAAGATGATCCGGTCCTCATCCACTGCACAGGAAAGGGTCATGGTACCAATGCCGTGACCAACAAATTGCCATATGAGAGCGATAGGTGTGGGAATCGTAGTAATAAAACGTGGCAATGAGAAAGAGATATGGTGCAATGAGCATGAGATGCAAGCAGCAGGTGATGCGACTCACTTGTGTATCCCCCTGAGACTGGATCATCCGCGAGCAGAAGTGGCGTGTCCAAGTCAACCCACCTGTGCACACACAACAGGGGGTTGGAGAGATGGACACAGGGCGAAGAGCGGTCAAGGAAGAAGAACACAATCAATCATGAATCGCATCCCATGTATGCTGTCGTGACAACGTTGTAAACACAAACTTCACCAGAATGACTCGCAAACAAACAGCGGCGCATGCTCGAGACAGTGTCTGTTCAGTTCACATCGAGCAAGGCCGTGCACTGTACCATGGCACAGCACGCCACGATGGCACACTGGCAGGCATGACAGCTGACTCACTGGAAGCATCCGAGCCCAGCCGCCATGTGAGCCGCGAACCCCATGGCGATGCGCGTTTCCACCATGCCGCCCACCATCAACTGCCATCGCCCTCCACTCCCATTACCACCCGGTCCATGCCCCTCCCCCACCATCCCCCCGCCCTCACCACCTATGCTTATGTCCCCCCCACATCCTCTCCCTCTTGCACCTGCCTCCTGCCATTCACCCCTCGGCCTCGCCTCGCTACTGTCCCCTCTTATTGCTCTCGCACACCCACACTCCGTGCTCCCTGCACCGGCCCTACCACCACCGGTAGCAGCAGCAGCGGCAGCAGCGGCGGCGGCACGGTTAGCCTGGAGCACGGCAGCAACGACCCGCAGAGCCCCCAGCACGCCCGTCTTGGCCAGCTTCACATTGACGCCAGTACCTGCCCCCTCCCGCACAATCCGCCACACGTCCTCCTCCCCCCGGCAGCTCTCATCCGCCATCACCACCACTGGCGCTGGCGCTGGCACTGGCAATGGCACTGCTGCTGCTGCTGCTGCTGCGGCGGCGAGGGTGATGGGAGGGTGCTGGGAGGATGGGAGAGGATGTGATGCAGGAGCATGCAGATGATTGGGGGCAGGGGCTTGGGAAGGGGCACGGGCAGGGGCATGGGCATGGGTGGAGCTAGGAGGGAAAGAGGAAGCGGTTGTTGCAGTTGCTGGTTCAGCAGCAGCAGGCGACGATACGGCGAGAAAGGAGGCGATAGCAGGAAGCACCGAGTGGGCGGGTGCGTGAGCGGGATGGGGAGAGGTGGTGGCGGGGGTGAAGCCTGGGGAGAGAGCGGCAGTGAGTGCGCGCATGGCGCGCCAGTTGCTGCGATGGAACGGCTGCTCCAACACATCGGGGTGTATGCCGTGCCCTGGTGGGAGGGGAGGGATGAGGGTGGGGGTGGCATGGCACAACAGGATAGGGTGCATGAGAGCGAACAGCGAAATAGGACAATTGGGCACAAGGGAGCTTATATTAACAAGAAGGAGCAGAAGAATGGGGTGGGTAGGACCAGATGTTGAGAGGACTTGGGATGATGCAGGCAGCAGGCGGTCAGCAGAGGGGAGGTGACACAAGGCGGCAGCAGGCGGTCAGCAGAGGGGAGGTGACACAAGGCGGCAGCAGGCGGTCAGCAGAGGGGAGGTGACACAAGGCGGCAGCAGGCGGTCACCAGCAAGCGCTGAGAGCATGTGCAGGACAGCAGCGGCAGTGCGGTAACCTCCATTGGCGTCCAACAGCAAGCAGCAGCGCGGACGCGCGGCGTGCACCGCCACCACCCTCGCCACATCTGCCTCCACCAGTCGCCCCTCCCATTCCTCCATCCCGCCCCCTTCCGCCGCAACCCACTCCTGCGTCTCCCTCTCCATCCGCCCCCCTTCTGTCTCATCCCTCCCCTGCCCCTCCAGTATTGTTGTGACTGTACCCACACGTTCCTCGACGAGGTGTTCCTGTAACAGGTGTTCTTCTGCCGAGTCTGCAGGGGGCAGCGCGCCGAGTTTGATCTTAAAGCAGGAGAAGCCCCGAGAGGAGTAGGAGCGAGCGAGAGACGCTGCTGAGGCTGGGGAACAAATGGGAATCTGATGCGGGCAGGTGGGATTTGGGGGAGGGGAAATAAGATGGGGGGGAGTGGGGAAGTAAGGGGAAAGCAGCAGGATTTGGAAGGCAAGACACACATAAGGGGCTGAGGGCAAGAAGCACGTAGTGGTTGTGGGGTCAGACGAAAGTACTGGGTAATAAGAAGATGGGTGCACGGTGGAGCAAAGATAGCAGGACAATTAAGCACCCTAAATCTCACCCCTCTAAAGCCTCCTAACCCTTCCTCATGCTTTTCCACCTCCTCCAATATTAATCCCACCCTCCCGTGTGTCTTTCCCCCTCCCCTACCCCCCCCCAGCGGCCGACATACGGTGATATCAGTGGAGAGCGGGCGGCAGGAGGGCGAGAAGAGGCGCCAGAGCGGTACCGCGAGCGCCACTGCTAGGGCGTCCAGCACTGCCATCTCCACTCCAGCACGCGCCTTGGGGGGGAGGGAAGGAGGAGGGATGGTGGGGATGGATGGGAGGGAGGGTAAGAGGAAAAAGAGAGGTAGAGAAAGGAAGCATGAATTAGGCTGTCACATGCAGGCACAAGCGCATGGACAGCAACGGTCATCAGGGCGTTGGGTTGGGGAAGATGCGAGTGGCTTTTCTTTCTTTTCCTTCACGGAAGGTGCGGCGTGTTGTTTCCCCTTGCTTCATACCACACCGTCTGTCCCTCACTCAATCCCCATCATCATTACACTATCACAGCATCACAACCCCTCATCTCATGCCCTACCGAGGCGAGCCCATGGCCGGGCAGCACCACTCGTTCCAGCAGCAGCAGCAGCTCAGGCCACCGCATGGGCGGCTGAGACACCACCCAATCCCGCGCGCGCACGCATGCCTTTAGAATCGTCTCCTGATCCTCCTCGGTTACCGATGGCAGCACAGGTGCTTCCCCCCACCCCACTGCTTCAATCACTCCACCGCTTCCCCCCTTCTCCTCCGTTCCCGCTCCACCTTCCCGCCCCCACTCTACCGCTTCCCTAGATCCACTTTCCCCCTTCTCTTCCCCCGAATCCCCCTTCCCCCCTGCACCGGGCATGCGGAGCACAGCGCGGATGGCGACGTTGGGGATGGCGGAGAGGGTGGCGGAAGCGATGGCGAAGGGCGCGTGGAGAGGCACGTTGAGGGGGCGCGCCTCAAGCTGGAGAATTTGCACGGGGGGCGCGGAAAGCGCCTCCGCGGACATTAGGCGGAGCCATGGCGGGTCTGCTGGGGGGAGATCCTCCCCGGAAAGTTCCGGGAACGGCGGCGGAGGGGGCGTGTCGGTGGGGGATCCCGCGGCTAGTGACGAGACGGCTGCAAGAGGGGATGCGGCTGTTGCGGAAGAACACCCAGGAAAGGACAGGCGCACGTGCGAGAAGGGGTAACGGGCGGCTGAACCAGCGGGGACGGGCCCGCGAGGCATGGCGGAACGCAATGGCGGAAGAAGGTGCGGAGGAAGCGAAATCAATCGGACTTCGCCAGGTGAGAAGGATTTGGGCGTGGGCGTCACGACGAGGCGAGATTGAAGCGCGATGAGCCGAGGCGAACATGCCGGTACTCCCGAGGTGCAGTAAGCTGTCGCGATGTGGCGATGAGCCCGAGCTGGGAAGATGTTCGACCAGTGAGGCCGCCACCACGGGGCTCGATTTTCATCGAAGCTCGGCAACCTCAACGTCGGGAGATTCAACGCCATCACAAGCCTTGTCTTGCCAAAACGCGGAAGCTGATAACTCTACTGCGAGCTGTTTCAAAGGAATTCTTTGGCGATTGTGCTTGTATGCTTCTCCTTCGCTTTGTCAACTGGGAACAAGCGAGGGCAGCGAGCAAGGCGCTCTGCTCCACATGCAAAACCCCTGTGTGAATTTATTCTTCGAATAAGGCGGTTCGGCCGGGATTCTCTACCTCAGCTTCATGCTGGCGAAAAGGTGCATTGACGTGGCACGGAGGTTGCGCTGAAGCATGCTTTGCGTGGTGACGCAGGTCGAACGCAACAGCTCCTCGCGCAATTGGTGGAAAAATGTTAATCGCTGCTTCGCCATTGGTTGTAAAGTTTCATCGACATGCTGTCCACTTCAGCAGAATGATCAAACATTTCACATGCTCTACACCCCACATGTAGTCATATAAGTCACACGAGTATGATTGCCATTACTCCCTTTGTAAACAAATAAAATATAATCATATCATTTGTGAAAATTAAAATTATTATACAGGTATTATTATCCATTTCATTTTATCAATAATGTGAGGAATGCATTGGTGCATGCCAAACTCATAAGCATTCTTGATACATGCTGAATGCAGTGTACTGCTGGGTTGGTGTGAAGGTCCAGTACAGCCGCAAAGCCTGAACAGAACACCTGAAACAGTTTATATCTCCGTTATACAGTCTTCCCCTGAGCTCTTCATAGCTCAACGCACAAGCCAAACAGAGCCACTCCCTGCCACGAGTCAGGAGGATGAGAGAGCTTGAAGCTTATTGGGTGGCCGTCGCAGCGCATCCGCACAAAACTGACTGCTGGCAGGTAGGCGCAAGCACGGCCTTTGCTGCCCAGCTAGGGCTCACGGGGCTGTGCGCCGGGGCCCTCCCTCTGCGGCAGGTAATCCCATGGAACGGTCTGCTCTGCAGGGCCATGTGCTTCCTTTGCGCAAAGAACCGCCATACAGTACGACGGCGGCAGGGTGCCCTTCAGGCTTTTCCTCCGCCGTCGCAATCTAGCAATCTTCAGCTCGGAAAGTTTCCTCGACTATCCTTTGAGTTTTAAGAGCAGCACGTGTTTTGTTTTGACCACCATTGGTGGCCAGGACTTGGGAGCCCACTTCAGATTTCTCCTCGCACTACGATAACGTAGGTTATTTCAAAGGGTAACACGGATCACCCAGGGTGCGTCGGACCATAAAATCTTCAAGCGGGGCAGCGCATCCTAGTGCGAATGCGGGCTGAGCCACATGCGTACAGTACCCCTGCCTCCCCCCGCAACCGCAACCTTGTGCATTTGCCTGTCATTGCCTCCATCCACTCCCCGATCTGGCTAGAAAGCAACGCAAAACACCTTTTCCCCCCAAGAAACGGCCCTACCTACGCACTCAGCCTTGCATGCTCGCCTTTTTCCTTGTCAATTGCTGACAAAGAGCAAAACGCTTTATGTAGCCTCTTTTGGAAACATATGACTTTCGCTTGAGCAGTTCGTGCAGCCTGCGTGCTACTAGAGGGACTTCGCAGCGCCGTAACCCCGCAATACCGTTCACTCACGCAGAGCCACGTGAATGCTGGTTCATGGACGACCGCTTCCACCGCGATAACGGCAGCTCGCGCCGCCCTTCCACTTCAATGGCGGCTGTGGGTATCATGCTGAATGCATGCCACTCGTTTTTCCCGATAACAGGAGAAAAGAGTCTCGCTTTGTGATCCAGAATCTTGCATTGTAGTAATCGACTCGGAAACATCCCGCCCTGCCATACCTGCACCTTAGTATGTTACTCTCATCGCACTCTCTTGTTCTTGTTCTATGAACCTCTTCTTGCTCCTCCGTGTATGCGACTCTCCTTCTCCCCGTGCGCGCACCAGCCCACCCACCGTCGTGGCCGCACCACACTCGTCCCTACGCCTGCCACGTGTACCGACTCGCAATCCCTTGCTTCGTCGCTCCTGACGTGAGTTTACACGGCCGGTAAGTTATATTCGCATCATTCTGCGTGCAATTCCGTCTGCCGCGTCGTGGAAGGGGCGATGGTTATCAATGCGGTAGTCGATATCATGATTCCTCGTTATCTTGCTTCTCCTCGTCTCGCTTGCTTTCCCCCATCGTCAATTACCCTTTCCTCCCCCGTCCCTCCCCCGTCTCCCCGCTCAACCCAAGTCTCCCCACTCGCCGTGTGTACGCGGAACACAGCCCCCAGCGCGCCCATCCAGCTCTCCGCAAGCCGCTGTCCGCCAAGCCCGCGTCTGCCCCGCCCACCTGCTCTGCCCGCGCAATCGCCGCCAGCAACCGCGAAGGGCAAAAGGGCAGCGGCAGTGGCAGCAGCAGCAGCGGCGGCTGCGGCGGCGGCAGGGGTGGAGTTTCGACGGATACGGATGCGATACTCGAGGCGCCCGGGAAAGCGGAGTCTGCGGCGTGGGATGCGTACGACACGGCGTTCGAGAGCGTCCTCGCGAGCATGTGGGACGACGTGCGCGGCGCCGCCAGTGAAGCCGGGAGCGAACACAGGCCGAGCGACGGGCAGCGACGCGAGGAAGGCGCGGGGACAGGGAGGATGAGCGACGGGGTCGGTGACGCGGAGAGACGGGTAAATGGGAGTGCCCTGGACATGCGGTGCAGGGAGCTAGGCGAGAGCAGCGTCGGGGCAAGGATGGCGGAGACGAGCCATGGGCACGATGCTGCTGATGAGTCGCGAGCAACGGAGTCTTCTCCCAGCAGCGACGCAGCGTGCTGTGACTCGCTACTGCTCACCTCGTGCGACGGGGAATGCTCCGCGACTTCCCTGGCGGACGACGAGTCGTGTCTGGGCGACGAGCCTCTGCCGCTCTCCACGCTCCCTCATGGCTGCCAATGGGCTCTCTCCCACCTCCCCTCGCCTCCTGCGCTCATTCCTCTTCCTGCGCCCACTCCCCCGCCTGCGTCTCCTGCTTCTCGTTCATCTCGTGCTACCGCGGCAACAGCAGCCAGCAGCCCCTTTTCCCCTGATTACTTCAGTGAATCGCCTGCGCTTGACATGGAGCAGCCGCTGGACCGCTCCCCGTATCTCGCAGACGCAGCAGGGGCGGCTGACACGCCATGTAGCCCCCCGCCATGGCCCAGCAGCGGGCGGTTGAGCCCTGCAAGCAGCCTTCTGCAACTGGACAATCTCATCCGAACCCCCACACGCCGTGCCGGTTCGAGCAGCCCTGATCACTCAGAGAAGCTCTGGGACGACCAGAGGTACCGGTACAACGAGTTGTTCCGAAGCAGCAGCGACAGCGGCTGTGGGCATAGCAGCAGCTGCAGCGATACTGCAGGAATGGGTGCGGATCAGGTGAAGAAAATCGGGGCATTAGCGTTCGGTGGTGGAAGCGGGCTGGGGTATAAGGAGGTGCCGCTTCTACCAGAGTCTTCTGCTGGCAGCCTTGGGTGGCTTTTGCCCCTGCCAGCAGACACTCTAGACTACATGGCCCAGGTGCAGAGCAGCGTGCAGCGCGAGTGGCATGCATGGCTGGAGGACCTAGGGGAGCGCACCAAGGGGCTGCGAGAAGACATGCAGGAGCAGTTTGGGCGCATGAGGGAGGAGATGGCAGTCACGTTCAATGTACTGGAGGAGGACATTCAGGAAATGGTGGATGAACTGGAGGACGAGGGGATCCTGCCGGACTGGACCAAGCTGTTTGACGATGATGGGGGCAGGGAGGAGGAGTGGGAGGAGTTGGTGAGTGGGCGCAGGAGCAGACGGGGCGGGGCGGAGCGGGAGGAGGAGGAGCGGCGGCGGTTCCTGCAGCAGGTGATGCTGGCGCAGAGAGTGTACTTCGACATCCATGGGGAGGTGGTGAGGCGAGTACATGTTAGGGAGAAGGGCTTTGGTGGTGGGGGGGTGAGGACGAGTAGGGGGCCTGCGTGCATTCCGGTGGTTACCAGCAGGAGCATGGAGAGTGCTGCTGTTGTGTTCTAGGGGTACGGTTGGTCAGCTAGTCGTGTGTGCGGCATGGGATGCCGGGATAGTGGAGGGAATTCTCTGGGGAATAATTCATTGATAACTCAATAAAGAGCATTGTACGCACCGTAATCCCCCGGATATAGGCGCATAGGGGCTTATAGGAAATACCTGGCAAAAGTGGCATGCACTTGTAATCGAATAAAAATGATAAGCCCAGGGCTTAACTAAGGGATTTTATGGAAAACAAATTTAAGCACATAGAAATGTAGCTCTTGACATTCGTGTTCTAGCACGTCTGTTTCCCCTGGGCGGACTGTTGGCGTCTCTTGAAGAAATGGCTCACGAAATTTCTGCCAGCAAATCTACCGGGGAAATTACTGCCTCGGACTGTCCGCAAATCTTTTCATACTTTCGTGGACAACCCCTACTTTCATGGACACCACATCAACCTTTTGTCAAACATGTCTATGTGTTATGTTTGTATAGACTGTATAGGGTAGCCTCTTAGAGGGTACAACACTTAGCTATATTGTGTGTACTCTCTCTGTATCATCAACACTTCACTTTCTGATATGGTATCACGCGTAGGTAGGATCCCCCCCCCCCACCTACCGCTTCCGCTCGCCCCCCCTAGCCCCGTCGCGACCCCCCCCCTAGCCCCGTCGCGCCCCTTCCTGGGACCCGTCGCGCCCCTCCCTGGGCCCCGTCGCGCTCCTTCCTGGACCCCGTCGCGCCCCTTCCCAGGCCCCGTCGCACCCCTCCCAGGCCCCGTCGCGCCCCTCCTGGGCCCCGTAGCGCCCCTCTTGGGCCCCGTAGCGTCCCTCCTGGGCCCCGTAGCGCCCCTCCTGGGCCCCGTCGCGCCCTCTCTGGGCCCTGTAGCGCCCCTCCTGGACTCTGTCGCGCCCCTCCCAGACCCCGTCGCGCCCCTCCTGGGTCCCGTCGCGCCCCTCCCAGGCCCCGTAGCGCCCCTCCTGGGTCCCGTCGCGCCCCTCCCAGGCCCCGTAGCGCCCCTCCTGGGACCCGTCGCGCCCTTCCTGGGCCCCGTAGCGCCCCTCCTGGGCCCCGTCGCGCCCCTCCCAGGCCCTGTAGCGCCCCTCCTGGGACCCGTCGCGCCCCTCCTGGGCCCCGTAGCGCCCCTCCTGGGCCCCGTCGCGCCCCTCCCAGGCCCTGTAGCGCCCCACCTGGGACCTGTCGCGCCCCTCCTGGGCCTCGTAGCGCCCCTCCTGGGCCCCGTCGCGCCCCTCCCAGGCCCCGTCGCGCCCCTCCCAGGCCCCGTCGCGCCCCTCCTGGGCCCCGTAGCGCCCCTCCTGGGCCCTGTCGCGCCCCTCCTGGGCCCCTGCAGCGCCCCTCCTGGGCCCCCCGTCGCGCCCGCCCGGTCCTGTCGCACCAGCCTGGCCCCGTCGCCCATGCTCGGCCCCGTCCTGCTCGCCCGGCCCCGTCGCAGCCGCCCGGCCCCGTCGCATCAGCCCGGCCCTGTCGCGCCCGCCCGGCGCCGTCGCACCGGCCCGGCCCTGTCGCCCCCGCCTGGCCTAGTCGCCCCTGCCCGGCCCCGTCGCCCCGGCCCGGCCCTGTCGCACCAGCCCGGCCTTGTCGCGCCCGCCCGGCCCCGTCGCGCCAGCCCGGCCCCGGCGTCCTCGCCCGGCCCGGTAGCACCTGCCCGGCCCCGCTGCCCCGGCCCCGTCCTCCTCCCTGGTACGGTTCCCCCCCACCTTGCCCAGCACAGCCCTGCACCGTACCGCCACGCACCACCCTGTACTGCCTTACACTGCACTACACCGCACTGCACCGCATTGCACCGCACTGCACCGCACTGTACCGCACTGCACCGCACTGCACCGCACTGCACCGCACTGCACCGCACTGGACCGCCCTGCACCGCACTGTACCGCACTGCACCGCACTGCACCGCACCGCACTGCACTGCACTGCACCGCCCTGCACCGCACTGGACTGTTCCTGATGGCGGCGGAGCTTCGCTTCGACGCTGAAGGTCAGCCCCTAGAGTTCGAGGCGTGGCTTGCCGACCTCCGCCGCCAACTCACTGGCCAGCGGCAGGATGGTGAACCGCTTTCCGCACATCTTGACGGTACGCTCCCCTGCCCAGACCCTCCTGCTATTCTGCCCGCTGACCCCACACCCACTGAGCGTGAGTCTACTGCTGCCACTGCCCGTGCGCGCTCTGTCTGGCTTTCTCGCGATGCTGTCACCCAGCTTGCCATTAGCAACGCCCTCCCCCCGTCCGAGCGTCCTCGCTTTAGATCCCTCACTACTGCTCAGGCATACTTAGATGCTGTCATCAAGCGCTATTCCACCCCTCCGGCTGCCTCGGTGGGTCGCCTGATCCTCCCGCTGCTCTTTCCTGACCTTGCTTCGTTCCCCACTGTCTCTGACCTCGCTGCCCACCTGCGCTCGATAGAGGAGACCTGGCGCGCCGCTTGCACTGACGCACAGCTTAGAGCCCACCAGCCGCCCATTACCTCTACCCTCTACCTGCTTGCCACCCACCTCCCTGACCGCCTTGCTGTCGCCCGCGACCGCTTCCTTAGTGTTCACCCCGCAGACCTCACCCTCACTGACTTTGTCGACACCCTGACTGTGATAGAGACCCGTCACCGCTCCATCGCCCAGGCGAGCGGTGTCGTGCCTGTCCCTATCTTTCAGGGTTGTGCCCCCGCTCAGTGCACCTTCTCCGACGGCTCTGCCGCAGTGGCTGAGACTGCTGCTGCAGCGCAGGCCCGTTCTGGGAAGGGCCGCCGCCCCAAGGCTGGGCGCGGCGGGGGTGCGGGCGGGGGTAGTGGTGGGGTCGGGTCGCCTGGTGCTGGAGCGGACGAGGGGACCCTGCCCAGTCCAGCTGAGTCGCCGCCCCTGCAGTTGCAGCAGCCGCCGCAGTCGCAGCCTTCGCAGCAGCCGCAGCAGCCGTCGCAGACGCGGCAGACGAGTGTCCTCCCGCCAGGGTGGCCCGGCGCTGGCGGTGGACGGGCGCGTGGTGGTGTGCCGCGTGGTGGCTCTGCCGGCGGGCGTTGTCAGTACCAGATCCAGACCGGTCCTCGCCGCGGCTTCGTTTGCGGTAAGATCGGTCACTCCACTCCCCGCTGTTTTCGTCGCCTGGACGACCTCTTTCGTCAGCGCTTCGGCCCGTCGCCAGACCTCCCGGACTGGCACAGTTTGCTTAGTCGACAGATTCAGATCTTTGATATGGACATGGATGCCATTGTTTCTGCCCTGCATGTGATGTATGCTGATGACTCTAGTGTGCTTCCGGCTTATTACTCACTGTTGCCTAGTGTAGGTGTGCCCAGCTTAGCCTCCCCTGCTGCGTCAGGCGTAGGATCCCCTGCTTTGTGTAGTCTTGGTGCTTCTGCCGTCGTTCCGTCGCCAACCCCCTCGGCTTCGCTTTCCTTCACCTTGGACTCTGGCGCCTCTCGGTGTTTCTTCCGCGACTCCACCACCCTGACGCCGCTTCCTGTTCCTGCTGCCGTTTCTCTTGCTGACCCCTCCGGCGGTCCGGTAGTCGCCCGCAGTTCCACCACCCTTCCCTGTCCGGCGGTTCCGTCGGGCTCTCTTACAGGTCTGCATATCCCCTCGTTCTCCAGGAACCTAGTTGGTGTCGGCTGCCTCCAGGACCTTGGCGTCACCACTACGTTCCCTGGTCACGAGCGGTATGCTGTCTGTACTGAGGCCGCCACTGGTGCCCCCCTGTCCACGTTCCCCCGGGACCCGGTATCCGGCCTGTTCACTCTGGACACCGTGCCCCCCCCGGCTGGAGCGCCCCCTCAGGTGGCTGTGTCTACCCAGGTTGCTGCTGCCTGCTCCTGTCGCTCCCTCACTCACCCGACCCTCCTGTGGCACCACCGCCAAGGTCACCCTGCGCTCCCGCGTCTGCGTCACATGTCCCAGCACGGTCTTGTCCTTGGTCTCCCAGGTTCACTCCCCGCGTTTCCCTCCTCCCCAGCTCCACCTTGCACGCCTTGTGTCGAGGGTCGGCTTCGCCGTGCCCCTCACTCCTCCTCGTTCCCCCCTACCGCCGCGCCGCTGCAGACCCTGCACCTGGACGTCTGGGGCCCCGCCCCCGTCCCTGGGCCGCGTCGCGAGCGCTACTTCCTTGTGCTTGTCGACGACTTCACTCGTTACACCACAGTCTTTCCCCTGGAGCGCAAGGCCGACGTGCCTGGCGCCCTCATCCCCTGGCTTGTCTCTGCGCGTGTCCACCGCGGTCTCCCTGTCTTGCGTCTCCACTCAGACCGTGGTGGCGAGTTTGCCTCAGGTGTCCTTGGTCGCTTTTGTCGTGCGGAGGGCATCACCCAGACGTTCACCCTACCGGACTCCCCACAGCAGAATGGGGTCGCTGAGCGACGCATCGGTTTGGTCATGGAGGTCGCTCGCACCTCCATGGTCCATGCCGGTGCACCCCATTTTCTGTGGCCGTTCGCTGTGCGCTACGCTTCTCACCAGCTTAACCTGTGGCCGCACCCTCAGCAGCCGCAGGTTTCGCCGACCCGTCTGTGGACTGGGTCTCCTGGTGACGCGTCTGCGTTCCACGTCTGGGGCTGCCTTGCTCACGTCCGTGCCTCCGGCACGGACAAGCTCACTGCCCGCACCCTTCCCTGCGTCTTCCTCGGTTTTCCCCTTGACGCGTCCGACTGGCACTTTTACCACCCGCCGTCTCACCGCTTCTTTCACTCTCGTGACGTCACCTTTGACGAGTCCGTCTCCTACTTCCGCCGCTTCCCCCACCGTGGTCCCCCGGTTACCCCCCCCCTGTTCCTGGTCACCCCTACCCCGGTAGTCCCTGCCCCTCCTCCTCCTCCTCCCCGTCCCGCCCCCTCTGGTGTCTCCCACGTCACCCCCCTTCCGTCCGTGGACCCGGTTGAGGAGTCTTCTGACTCTGGTGGCCCTCCGGTGCAGTCCTCGCCGGCCGCCCCTCCCTAGGTGTCCCCTCCCCAGTCCCCTCCTCCGCCGCCCCTGCCGCCGCTGCAGCCGTCGCCGTCGCCGCTGCCGCCGCCGCCGCCGCCGTCGCCGCCCCCGTTCGCTGACTCTGGGGGTGCTCGTCCCGGTCGCCCTAAGGGTGGTCCCTCTGGGGGTGCGGGTGTGGAGAGTGCCGGTGGTAGCCGAGGAGCAGCTTGCGGTCCAGGTGTCGCCGTTGTGCCGCCGCAGCAGCAGTTCCCACCGGTGTCCGCCCTTCGCCTGCTC